ATCACCAATATCCATTTTTTCTTTTAACAAAAATTGTCAACGTGTCATGACAAATTTTTTTAAAAAAAAAACTGCAAGTTTAAGGAGCAAAATAAAAATAAAAATAATTTTTCGTTAAATATGAAACGAATATTAATAATTAACCCAGTGTGAAACTAATCACATATTTAAGAGTTTAGTGTGAAAAAACTTAATAATTGAGGGGATAAAAATATAATTTATCCTATATTTATAGGACAGGGTCGTTAGAAAAAAGAATAAGATATAGAAATAGGAAGAAATTAGAATTGAAAATTGTAGGTAGTTACACTTTTTCCCCCTGTGATAAACCTCAAATGTATTTTACCTCCCTAACATTTAAAAATCTTTACATAATTCTCATACGGTTTGGGACTAAAATACAGTGTCGCACTTTTCATCTAACTTAACAAGAGGTATGTCCCACACACACAATCTAAGAGTTGATTGTGACAAAAAAAATTTTGAAACTTTCAAGACAAAATAGCCTGATATTCTTCCTTGAACTCGTCTATCTCTCTCTCACACACAAGCAAAGAACACAAACCACAGCCTAGAACACCCACATAATGCACACAACACACACACACATAACACATGCATCCACCCACCCACACACACATAACACAACACTGTTTTTGGTTTGATTTTGATTTTTTGTTTGGTTGGTTTAATTCCAATTTTGACTTTTGTTTCCTATTTTGATTTTGGGTGTTGTGGATTGATTTCTAGTTTTTGTGGCGGTGATTTATATGGATTGATTTTGAGTTTTGATCTTACTTCCAATTTTGATTCTCACACACATCACTCTCTCTCTTTATCTCTCTCTATTTCTATATCAATTTTTCTATAAAAATTGATTTTTATTGTTAGTTATGCATTAAATTTGGTTTGTGTTTCAGTTGTAAGCGACATTGTTGGCCAAACATGAATGTTATTGGGTACTTGGAAAGAAGAAGGAGATAAGGGTATATAGGTCATTTTAATTTTTTGTTTGTTAACAGAGTTAACATTGCATATTAGTCCACGTGAGGGTTAAGTGGAGATTTCTAAAATATAGGGAGGTAAAGTGCATTTGAATGATAGACTTGCAATTAACGGCTAATAGTAATAACAAAGACAAAGAGGGGAAAAGTTTGACTTTGGCACAGCACAACGGAGGGATTCGGCTCCTCTGCTGTTCATGAAGAACAGCAGGAGCTGCTGTTCTCCCAAACGGTGCCGTTTGGTGCCTTTTTTAAAAAACTAACCAGACCCAATCCGCTGGGTTTTTGGCCCAATCCGACTCAATCCGCTGACCCAAAACAGACCCAAACAGCTGGGTTTGTGGCCGAATCCGACCCAATCATGAGCAAAAGTTAACATTTGGCGCCACTTTGGCACACTCCACACTCTTACGTACACACAGCCGCTGAATCAAAAATCAATCCAGTTCCAATCTTTGGTGGTTAACATACTGTTGCGATGCTTTGTTTATTAACAAGAAACGAACCAATATTTGTTTATTGAGTTTTGCGATTCGTCCCCTTCATCAATTTCAAGTATTTTTATGTCTGTTTCAAATATTTTAAGTGGATATATGTATAAACACACACACACACACATACACACCTACAAATTAACATTTTTATTAGTTGGACTTTTGTTGACTTAAATTTAAATTTTAAAATTTTAAATTTTTGATTGTTTTATTGATTTCTTTGATCATTATTAAATTTTTTGATATGATTTAATTATGATGTTTTGCTTTGTTGTTAATTTATATTGATCGTTCGTGCCTTTATTTTCTTAGAAATGACTCACAGGGGTTTAGAGGAGAGATTGGATCAGCGGATTGAGTCGGATTCGGCCAAAAATCCAGCGGTTTGGGTCTGGTTAATTTTTTTAAAAAGGCACCAAACGGCACCGTTTGGGAGAACAGCAGCTCCTGCTGTTCTTAATGAACAGCAGAGGAGCCGAATCCCACAACGGAGTCATTGCCCATTACACAAGTAAGTTAATTAATTAAAAATATATTTCTGCATGAAATTTAATATACTTTTCATATCAGAAACAGCAATGCAGCCATGGCCCATGGGTATGGGGGCAGTTGACTTTAGATCAAAGCTGCCTGCCCTCTTGCTCTTCTATGAGAATTCTGAAATCTCTCCGCTCTCTCTCTCTCTCTCTCTCTCTCTCTCTCTATATATATATATATATATATGCACAACCTGACAAGCACAACACTCACAATGTTCGTGAAGATCTACGCCACCAATTCTTCTCAGACTTGTCTTCTCCGCCATTTACTCCTGTATGTTCCCCCTCTCTCCCGCTCAATCGATATGTATATATATGTATAATTGTGTGTGTTTTGTGGATATATTCATTTGCTTTGAGTTTCATTTTGTATTCAATATTGCTTTGGGCGTGTTCGAGCTGGAGAATAAGCTTTGAAAATGGGAAATAAATGTAGATAAGGAGTTAATATACCCAAAGTTTGATTATTGATTTGGGCGTAAGAAAATCTCTAAATTGCCCTAATAATCATTTTACATCAAAAACTCTATTTCATTTGAATTTGCATTTAAACCCCAATTATAACAACCTTCTTTTCAGTAACGACACACCTTCTCTCCCATTGCCAACAGAATCGCTATTTCTCCCGTTTCCTCTTATTATAGAACAATAACTTATCCATCTACTAGGATTTTCTAAATCAGTTTAGAAGTACGATTGACTTATGAAGATGCCTGCAGCAGATAGAGAGAGAAAGGAATGGGATGAGGGGTTGGGGGTATGTGGTTGCAAGGGTGGTGACTGATGGGTAGCAATCGGTGGCGGTGATTGACAGAGAAATTCGGATGGATGAAGGCGGTGCACAGAGAAAAAAGCGGGAAGATGTATAATTGATTGGTCGAGTCGGGTCAAGTAAAATTGGATTTGGAGTATGGTACTTGGGTTTGGGTTAGTTTACTTTTTTTCTTTTTTTTGTCAAAGGTAATTTATCGAACTTGAAAAACTCCGTCTATTTAAGTGACAAATTTCAACAGATATAATTTTTAACGGTGGTTTAATGATTGAGTTCAACATTTGATAATATAGAAGTCTCATGTTCAATCTCTTCACACACCCTTTATGGGTTAGTTACTCTCGTCTTTTTAGAAATATGTTCTTATCTAGCCGTTAAATTAGAAGAAATAGTCGTCACAAACCTAAACACCCTGTAACAAAAAAAAATAAAAAATCAACAGGTCTAAATGTAATTCATTCAAAAAGTCAACCTTTTGAACAATTGAGACTCCAAGCCTTCTTCAACTATAATACCCAAAAAAAAGTCATTTTTCAAAAGGAAAAAAAAAGTGGACAAGTCCACCAATTGTAACTTTTGCGTCCTTAAGTACACGCTAATGACTTTTAAGCCTAGGAGGACAAAAATAAGTTTAATATAAAGTAAAATTAATGATTGAGATTATAAAGTATAATTTTTAAGTCCATGTAGCATTACTCATAAGTTATTGGTGATTAATCCTTTCTCTTGAAATCTCTCTTTCCCTCTCAACCTCTCCTCATCGATTAAAGTGGATTAAAGACAAAAATTCTTTTAGCCAATCTATATGCCTTTCACCCTTAAACTGTTTTCGTCTAAAAGTCCAGTGGTCCACTTGGATGCACCTTTTATGATTTCTACACTTTTAAGAATTAGATAAATTCATGTATTGCTCTCTATAGTGTAATTGAGTATATTTCACAATGTAGGATAATAAAATTTATTCAATTTTTATGTTTAGCTGTATTTTATTATCGTGGACAAGGAAATTAAACAGTGAAATATGTCCAATTTTAATGTCTTGAGAATCAATTTAGCTAGAATACCGATTGCACTGTCCAACATTTTTAGAACCCATAAAAAAAAAATGTTCCAGTATTGCTCACACTGGAAAGAGAGAGTCAGATTTTTATTTTTTTGATTTGATGGTCAGGGTATTTGAACTAATTTACGTGCATCTTAACTAATCTTTTTCCTGGTCCCATCAAAGCCAGACTATTCATGCTCGGCTTAGAAAATTCATGAGGGATAAATTTCTAATAATCTGACTTTAAGGAATTACTAAGATTCGAACTCCAACCGTATGAGTTTCACGTCTGACAAACTTCTCAAATTTTACCCCTTCGATTTCTCCTCTTTGTCCACCCCGTCGCAATTTCTCACCCAACATAATTCTATTGTTTCAGTAGGCAACCATTACAAATACCAGCCCTCTCATTACCTTCAACCCAACATCACAAACACCACTTTTCATAGTTCCTGTGGTTTTCTCTGTGAATAGTCTCTCTACAGATTTCTGAATATATACAAATGTTACGGTGGAGGAAGATTAAATGTTGGGAAAAAATAATAGATAGGACGATGTAGAACACTAACTGTCCTCAATAACTTTTCCTTTTCATTTTAAATTTTAATTTGAATGAATAATAACTATTGATTAAAAATAATAAAATTATATGTTGCCATTTTTATTGGCTGAAAAATAAAAGTATGATACTAAAAAATTATTTTTCGGTACCATAATAAGCCCTATTTGTATAAGGGTTAATGATACTTTGTACCTCGTAAGATATCACTTCAATAAAAGATTTTAAAGTTTCAAATTGCACCCTTAATTAGACAAAAAAAAATAGAAATTAGTGTGGTCCAAAACAACAAATCTGTTGCTCTATCTCACACATTTTTGTGTTGTAGTCTTTATATTTTCTTATTTTGATGTTCAATTATTTATAGATTACTCAATTTTAAATGTTTTACATGAAGATTTTATACTCTACCTCATTAAAATAGACCACATTGCTTCTTTTTTTCTATGGTTGTTGGTGTAGTATGAAAATTTTAATAACAAATGATTTGTACCCAATTGACATTGACGCTTTCTTTTGCAGTTAAGGCAAGAATGACAAACAAATAACAATCAACAAGCCATCAAGGTGCTAAGAAGGAAATAATAATGGCAGAAACCGTCACCTCCGCTGCTTTAGACTACTTGTTACGCAAGATAACGTCGGCCATTGAGAATGAAGCGTCACTGATCGGAGGGCTCAGTGATGAGTTTGATGCAATCAAGCGAAAGTTTATCACCATGAGATATGTTCTACAGGATGCTGATGAAAATGGAGTCCTCACTCGAGTAGATAAAGACTGGGTGGACAACGTTAGAGACATATCTCATGAGGTTGAAGATGTCATAGACGAGTTCATGTATCACATGAACATGCAACGTAATGGTGGGAAATGCACAAGGCTTCTTCACCAGATAGTTCTCTTTCCGAAGAGTCTGTTGGTGAGGCACCGCGTAGCCACAAAGTTACAAAAGATCAATCGAAAGATAACTGAGATTGACGAAGCAAGAAGAAACTTTGCCATCGATGGAAGAGAAGTAAATCAGCGTGTTGATTATGAACAATTAAGGCAACATGATGCAGAGGCGTCTATTTTTATCAAGGACAAATTGGTGGGGATTGAGCATGATGAAAGACTTTTATTGGAATTGCTGACCGACCAAGTAGTATTACAGCGCACTGTCATTTCAGTGGTAGGAATGGGTGGTTCAGGCAAGACTACTCTAGTCTCCAAGGCCTACAATAACCCAACTGTGAGGCAGCATTTTCACTGCTCTGCTTGGATCACCGTCTCCCAGACGTATGATGTTCTAGATTTAATGAGAAGGATGATCAAGGATTTCTACAGTGCTACAGAAGAAGCAGTTCCTACCGATTTAAACACGATGGAACTCAATGAGCTGATCAGTACACACGTGAACTACTTGCAGACAAAAAGATACATAGTTGTTTTGGATGACGTGTGGAGTAGTCAGTTCTGGGACGAAATCCGTGTATCTCTTCCAGATGATGGGTCTGGAAGTCGGGTAATGCTTACAACACGAGATAATAATATAGCTAGGAGCCTATGTTCTAGGAGGCATATTCATGAAGTAAGACCAATGAGAGAGAATGAGGCGTGGGAGCTCTTTTGCATGAAAGCATTTGCCAACAATGAAGATAAAAGTTGTCCTGAGGAGCTCAAAAGTTTAGCTGAGAATTTGGTTGGCAAATGTGAAGGACTACCTCTGGCCATTGTGGCTTTGGGTGCTGCCATGTCGTCGAAGAAACTCAAATCAGAGTGGAAAAAGGTTAATGATAGCTTGGATTTTGAGTTGATGAACAACCGTGACTTGCAATATATGCAGGCCATCTTGTTACTTAGCTTCTACGAATTGCCATACAAACTGAAGCTATGCTTCTTATATTGTTGTCTATTTCCTGAAGATTATGTCATAAAGCGAAAGAGGCTCATTAGACTTTTGATGGCAGAAGGGCTTGTTGAAAAAGCACGTGGACTTTCACCGGAAGACGTAGCTGAGAGCTATCTTATGGAACTCATTCAACGAAACATGCTTCAAGTTGTGATGAGGAACATATTAGGAAGGCCAAAAGAATGTAAGATGCATGATCTTGTTCGGGAAATTGCTCTTCCAATAGCGGTGTCGGAGAAATTTTGTGCTCTGTACGATGATCAAGAAACAAGTGAAGAGTGTGGAGCACGTCGCTTGTCGATCCAAAAAATAAAAGAGCAAATAAAATCATTGAAGGGCATGTCACAGCTCCGTTCTCTTCTAGTATTCATTGTTGATAAGAAGTCTCCATCTATGGTAACATTGCCATCAGGGTTGAGATTGTTAAGGGTATTGGATCTGCAGGGTGCACCAGTTGAGAAATTGCCGAATGAAGTAGTGGATCTACTCCATTTAAGGTATTTGAACCTAAGGGGTACTAAGGTGGAGAAGCTTCCAAAATCAATTGGAAGGCTCTGCAACCTGCAAACACTTGACATTCGCAATTCAAGAATAGAAATGCTTCCAACTGGGATTACAAAGTTGCAGAACTTGCGGCATCTATTAATGTATCGTACCATTATGCACTATGATGCCGGTTTTAAGCTTTATTGTGGCATACCAGCCCCACCAAATATTTGCGGGTTAGAGAACTTGCAGGTCTTGGATATTGTTGAAGCAGAAGCAGATTTAATGGGACGTATTGGAAGCTTGACGCAACTTACTAAGCTTGGCATTGCAAACGTAGGAGAAGCAGATCAGCAAAACTTGTGCAACGCAATTCAATCGATGAATTCCCTTCATCACTTACTTGTGATGGTTAGTAATGAGAAGGTATCCTTGCAAATGGATACGCTCCCTGCAGCTCCTCCACACCTCAAATCCATGGTGTTAATAGGGAAATTAGAGGTGGTGCCCCACTGGTTTTCTTCACTTAAAAGCCTCGCACAATTGCATTTGCATTGGTCCACATTGACAGAAGATTTCCTTCCCTCCATCAAAGACTTGCCTAGTTTGGGAAGGCTTGAACTTAACAACGCGTATTCTGGAAATCAGTTAAAATTTACTGCAGGGTACCAAAAGCTGAAGATTCTATACTTGATCAATCTCCCTCAGCTGGATGAGATAATAATAGAGGAGAGTGCGATGCGAGATCTCCTAGAACTTCACCTACACCGCTGTGAGAAGTTAAAGACATTACCTTCTGGCATTGAACATCTCACTAGCGTCCAAGAATTGGAATTAAGGAACGTTTCAAGTGAGCTCGTCCAACTGATCCATGGAGAACAGGGTGTGGTTCACCCAAGTATTCAACATATCCCAGTTATCAGGTATTGGTAACGATCGTAGCCTGGGAGAGTTCAAAACGAAAGCTTGTCCTGAATCTTTTGCAAGAAGGTAAGACACTATTTTACCCACACCTCCTTAATACAAAAGTATTTTATCCTTTCTTGTTCCATTATTTCTGTCATTTGATGTTTTGTTAAAGACTACTCTGATTTCATCCCACAGCATTAACATTTTTACAATTTTCAATACTTCAGTCCTAAGCACAAGCATCTCGAAATCAAAAAGTGATTCACAGTTGGAGGGAGGCTGATATCAAGTGAGAACCACTCGTATTGCACAAGTGTACCAGAGGAATCCAAGTCCGAGGAGAATGAATAACTACGTCCAGGTTTTACAAATCCATAGTTTTGTTTATCAGAATAATTTTCTCAGATGTTCCCTGTACTTGTGTTGGTTCCTACATGGCTGGCTGGAACACGAAGAGATCACTGCGTTCCCAGTTTGCTCTGTCCGTCTTGGAATGGTTGTAAATGACTTTATTTCTAATATTCAGCATATGAGAGTTTTCTGGGAACATGGTGCAATGAAGAAGATTTCTTCAGACAGGCTAGGTGCATGGATGAAAAAAAAACACTGTAACAGGACCTTTATTGGACAAGTAATTCTATTTAGACCTAAAAATCTTACTTAATTTGTTGACATAATAATGTGACTTCAGTAGAACTATTGGATTAACACTAAGTTTCAATGTTTGATGGAATTCACAATCAATCCAAAAGTCATAGTGAATTAGGTCAACAAATTAGGTCTCAATAGCATTGCTCTTATTAGACTGTTGTTATTGTAATTTATTTTGATAACTTAGCTTGGAGTGCGTTGCAGTTGTACTAATCTCAAGATCTGGGCACAATTTTGAGATAATAAACCACTGTAACTTGTCAATTATAGTGGATTGATTTTTGGGTTTGCCCTATGGTCGTTTCCCTCCACACAAATGAAGAATTTTTCTCTCAAAATATCGGTATTCTTGTAATTGTTTTACGTTGTTTTATTTATTTAGTCATTGCTCGAGTGATTGAAGGTGAACTGAGGGTTATAGTCGAATTTTCATAATGGTGTTCAAAACGTTTGGTAGGCTCATTCGAAATGCAATATTGTTGCTCCAGTGAGTTGCAAGTTTGGTATTATACGTTTCAGATGGTGATGCAGATATCCTATGCCACTCCTCTTTGCTGAATAAAGAAGGTGGATCCCTATGTTATTGGAGTTTCTATCCGCAACGAAGTGAAAACACTTGCTTATGACCTTTATCCAATTGGATCCCACGAATCCTATAAAGTTTTTGGATCTGCACAAAGAGTCACCTGCTCAAAGTTTGCAGTTTCAACGGTTCTAAATTCCAAGAAAAATGGACTCTTCATGTGACATATATTGCCATATAGATTTGCATGTTCTAAGAAATTTATTTTATGAGTCGCAATTGAGTTGTATCGTGTTGTGTTCGAATTGTATCGTTTTGAGGTGATATTGTATCACATGTTTGGACATTAACTCAATCTCTTTAGTAATAAACTTGTGTTACAGTTGACATGTAAAACCCGTAAATGAAAAATATAGGACGATCAAAAAGCAAACTAGTTGGACCAATAATTCTAATTTAGTATGAAATTATTAGTTTAGTATCAAATGTGGATCATGACTGAGTTGATCGGTAGGCCTACTTAAAAATTATCATAAATGAATCTATTTATACACAAGACAGATTCAACTAATATAACTTATGCATGAGAGATTTTCTGCAACAGATTGAAATAGCGATCTTTTAGATAGTGAACCTGAAACAACCACAGGGTCAGAAAAGGGGCCGGGTGAACACTCGACTTATCCCCTCCGAAACTTAAGTCAGTATCCAATCAGAGGCTTGAGCACAATGTGTAGTTTTTCTCAGTTTAGTCTTTTGTACCTTTATTTATTTTTCTGAGTAGTATTTATACTTGTGTTAACAATGAGGGTTAAGGTTTTAAGTCCTATTTCAACATTGAATGTTTGACACTCTTACCCATGCACAATGAGTGTTTTCCAGTCAAATCTTTGTATCTTTAATGCTAGGATGACAGGACGAGTGCTCGAGGTCATGCCGAGCACTTGTGGCTTTCTCCGGACACTCAAGTTTCTCTGATCGGCATTTGACACTTACTACTGAACGTCCAATACTCGGGGAACAGTACCTCGGAGTATAACGAAGAGGTATACTCGGTGTAATAGCCACTATTGTCTAGCAATCATAACTGTAGGCTTAGGTCTTCGAGGATGCAGGCTTAGGTATTGAGGATGTAGGCTTAGGTCTTAACCCTGTCTCAGTCACTCACATCGTTATAAATGAGTAGTCAAGTTGTATTAAATGTGACTCTCAATTAGTGTATTCGGCTCCTCCGAACCATTACTCCTTGGTTTCCTTTCTCGGTGCCTTTTCAGTCTTATAACAACTACGTCTTTACACATGTTGTATTGGGGGTTGCTTAGCCGCCTAGAGTCCTGCCAATTAACATGCATGTTAATCGATGCAAAACAACCAGATTTTCGATAACTATAAATAAATTGATTATAAGATTGGAGAAAATGTTGACATGGACAAGGCACAATGAACTCATTTTACATTGATTAAAATTATACCTCCACAGATTTTTAAAATTTTATTTTACACTGACTAAAATTATTACATTACACTCTCAACAATATAAAAAATAACAATATAGTTTATTGTAATAAAATAGAGCACAATTTTTTTATGTAAAATACTTCAAATCAAATAATATGCAAATAATTATGTATAAAAGTAAAAAAATACGAAAAAAAAATTTGTCTGACAAAGCACTATAAATTTGATTTTGGACTTTGAAAAACATAATTACATTTGCAAATTCAATATTCAAGTAAAGGTTCAAAGTTAAATGAGTAAATTGTAATTTGTATATTGAAAGATTTTAATATTTTTATTTTATACCTCAAAAGATTAATTTTTTTATATTTTACTCTCAATATATCATAGTGTTGTAATGTGACACTTCTGTTAACTTTTGTTAGTTTTTTCGTTAGTGTCGATGAGTTGATTTTTGACAAAAAAAAAAAACTAACAGAAGGGTTACATTATAATATTTTTGATATATTGAGTGTATAATGTAAAAATTTTAATTTTTTTATTCTACCAAAAAAAAATTTAAAATCTTTCAAAATACAAAATACGAAAAAACCCAAATTAAATTTGGTCAAATTATTGGTTGAACTTAAAATAAGGGAAAAAATATAAGCATCAAGGATCAATTTTTTTTGGGTCAAAAAAAATAATCCGTACTAACCCTCGATCTCAATTCATTCTCCTATACTTTTACGAGTTTCACTTAATCTCTTCCAACTTATGAACAAATTACAAATCTAATAGAATTCGTTTATTGTAACGGCGTGGTAATTACGCGTGCTAATTAAGTGCGTGTTATAAAATAAATAATTTTTTTCTAAATTAAAACTTAAATTACTAATTTTACTCTTCATCTTCCTCTATTTTCTAGACTTGTTGGCTCCTTTTGAAGCTTTAACAAGTTTTACAAAGTTTTGATTTTTAAGTTTCCAAACACTAGTGAGTTTCTTCACCACATACACACACCTCGGACATGGCTCCCAAGTACTTCATTAAACTGTATTATAACCCCTTAACACAACCCAAGTCTCAATTGATGAAGAAATGATTGTTTGCTATGTAACCCTTTGAAAATTCAATTATTACTTTAAGTTTTAAACACAAATTTTAGCGCATATACAGTATGAAACTTAAATCTAATCACACCAATGAAATCCTCATGAAAAAATAATATTGAGCAGGTAATTTGCTAGTTGCAAGTTTTTTTATACAAGATAAGGGTTTTACAATGATAACATCACAAATAAAACTGGATTGCAATCGGGGGTGGTTTAGTCTTTTGTATAAACTATTATCTTTATTAATATTTGTAGTTTGTTCATAAGTTGGAGGAAGCTAAATAAAATTCGTAAAATTACAAGGGGGTGAAGTGAGATTGAGGTTTAATTCAAAATTTTTTTACCCATTTTTTTTCTCTAATTGAGAAATTTTTTATCCTTCCAGATATAAATGAAGTATATAACGATGTTTTTCTTGCTAAAGAATATAGGGATATTTTAGGTGCAAAGTGCTATTCGTCCTAATCCTGAAATAATTTTTTTTAAAAAATTTAAAATTTAAAGAAAAAATTACACTCAAACTCTCTAAAGTTTATCACTTAATCTCTCAGACTTCCTAATATTTAAAATATTACACACAAACCCCTTAAAATTTATACGCGCGTAGCACTTAGACCTCTACCATCAAATATCTGTTAATATATCTATTAATAAATTACACTCAAACCCCCTGAAGTTTATAGATATATAATATTTATGACCTTTCAAGTTTAAAATGTTATATTAGACAAAAATTACTTCAATAAAAGACAGAATATCAAATATTTTAAATTTTATAATTAAAATTTACATTATATTGTATCATTTATTGAAATAAAATCAAAAATAAAAAGTTAATTTTTTGTTAAAATATCGTAATTAGTATACAATTATACTATCTATTGGAATAAAACAAAAAAAATTAAACAAAGGGTCTGAGTCATTCATAGTAGAACATCAATTTTACAACCAAATTTTTTGTTATATTAGGTCATTTATTGAAATAAAATTAAAATTAAAAATATAATCTTTTCTTAAAAAATTATAATTAGTGTACTATTAGAGTAAAACAAAAAAAAAAAATCAAATAAGTGGTTAAACCGTAATGTACATAATATGTTCTAGTTCTAACTGGAGTAATTTGGTAGTTTAATTTGGTCATTTAAACGATTAAATTAAATTCTAATAATAGTATAATTGTATACTAATTATAATTTTTTAAGAAAAATTAATTTTTTATTTTTAATTTTATTTCAATAAATATCATAAAAGAACATAAATTTTAGTTGTAAAATTTAAAATATTTAATATTGTATATTTGACTGGAGTATTTTTGATATAAGTATAATATTTTAAATATAAGGGGTCTAAATATTATATATTTATAAATTTTAAGAGATTTGAGTATAATTTATTAATAAATATGTTATATGAAAGTCTAAGTATTATGCGTATATAAATTTTAGAGTACCTATATGAATATTTCAAAGTGTCAAGGGATGAGGGATTAAACGACAAAACTGGTAGATCTGACTCTAGTGTAATTCTCCCTTCTTTAAATTAAATAAAAATATAATTTTTTTGACAGATACGAGCCAGGCAGCCATGAGCGGCAGTCGGTTGACTTTCGATCAAGCTGCCCTCTTGCTCTGAATCTATGCGAATATTAAAACCTCTCCTATATCTATACACATTCAATGCTCACATTCAATCTCTAAAGATTCAAAATCTAGGGCTTTTAGGGTTTCTCTTCATTGCTTAAACAATTACGTATGTGATTGGTATGATCTTGCACAAGGAGAATTGGAATTCTTTGTTTTTGGGGGAATAAAAGCCCCAATATCTTTATTTTCTTTGGTGGGATATGAATAAGAGATATGGCTTGGAATAATCCGTGTCAGGAGGTTGCCAATTCAAAGCCATTGTTCGCGACGATCTACGCCACCGTACTTATAGGAATCGTTTTCTCCTCTTTCTACGTCTTCTCTGCCATTTACTCCTCCGGTAGCTCATCAGCTCACTCCACTTCCTCCTTATGGCTTCCTCCGTCTGCTTCCTGTATGTACCCCTCTCTCTATCTCTCGTTCAATATACGTATATGTGTGTGTATTCATGTGGTGTTCTTATATGGAAAATGATTTCCATCTATTTAGTAAATTTAAAACTGACGTCCAACTGAGGCAGGGAAGAGAGAATTCACTGGAAAGTGTAACTTGTTACAGTCTTGTATCATAAGTCGTTAATATTTTACCAGTGGCATTAGAAAAAATTCTCATGTATTCGGACCTTCTCTAAATTTTGACTATTTATTTTCAAGAATAGCTCATGTGCTGAGAAAAAATAAGCCAAATATTTCTTTCCTGGAATTTCTTAATTTTAAGTGATAGCACCACAAATTGTGACCTTGTGCTTTCCACATTGACATTTGTATCTACTTTTTCTTCCCATTTTCTTTCTCTTTCTTATTTTTATGCATATCTTATTTTAGATGCAGCTCCATCCCTGGATCAGAATCCTACTTCTTCTCAACCATCCACAGTGGGTTCCATTTTGGCCCCTTCCATCGAACCACGAAACAAATCGTTGAAACCTATTTGGGAGTTTCCACCTCCTGGCTCTAAAATGCCACCTTTGGAGACCTTTCGACTGACAAAAGAGCTAGTTCAGCAAAGGGCAACGAATAATGTTTTAATAGTGACCTTTGGTAACTTTGCCTTCATGGATTTTATCTTGACATGGGCAAAACACTTGACGACTTTGGGTCTTGACAATCTTCTTGTTGGTAAGTTTTGCGCAACATCTGCCGCAAATTCTGTCGCAGCAAACAATTTTTTTTCTCAAACTCTATCTATTCTTAAAATAAAAGGCAACAAAACTGTCTAGGTGCAATGGACACAAAACTGGTGGAGGCTTTGTACTGGAGAGGTGTACCAGTTTTTGATATGGGGAGCCATATGAGCACAATAGATGTTGGATGGGGCTCACCAACATTTCATAAGATGGGAAGAGAAAAGGCTATTTTGATCGATTCCATCCTACCTTTTGGTGTTGAACTACTGATGTGCGACACAGACATGGTCTGGTTAAAGGTAACCTATCGTGTGTCCATTTAAGATAAAGCCATCCCTGGATGCTAGCATTCTTTATGTGGATCCACCTTTTTTGCCATATGAATGATTACTGTGTGCATATGAATTCTTTTTCTAACTTATGGCGGAAAACTGCTGCACTAGTTTTCTCTAAAAATAAAATTTTGTATTAACTACTTCTCTTTAAGTGAACTTCCTGGTTCGATTTTTTCTTTGTTTTTGGGCACCTTTCCTGTTACAATTTCTGGTTATGGGAGGACTGCTTTTGGAATTAGAAAAGAGAAAAGAAGACAAACAGTATGAGAAATTAAGAGAAGCAGCAGCAGTACACATTAATTTGTTTCCTGGTGCATGTAGATGACGTTGAACACTGCAGAATCAAGATACTAGTCACATATATATGATGAGTCATGAGTTTCCTTTATTGTTGATCTTGTCATTTTTCTCGATTTGTCTGTCTAATTACTCATGCTTTCTTCTTTTTGCATGCATCTTATTATTTTTGGCATGCTATTCTTAAGGAGCTGTATTCTTTCTTTATCCATTTGTTGTCCCAATCAATACATTCTTATGTTGTTGTCCTTTTTATTGGTACACGCTTTTGACTATTTGATATGTTGTTGGAATAGAATCCGCTTCCATATCTTGCTCGTTTTCCTGAAGCAGATGTCTTAACTTCAACTGATCAAGTTATACCAACTGTTTCTGACGATAGATTGGACATCTGGCAACAAGGTAAAGTTTAATTGCAAGAACATCTAACTCTTGTTAGCATCTTTTAGAGTTATTCCCAATTGCTATCTGATGTCGACCTTGTATACTTCTTCACTTCATGTATCTAATCTTGAAAACGGTTCTATTTTTTCTTTTATCATATTGTTAATAAGAATTGTTTGCGTGTCTGGTGTGTTGGTACACATGAACACACTTTGATAGCAACAATTGTTAAAATACTTAAACAATTGACTTGTTTGGTACCATAGGGGTGATGCTAGGGCTGAATGGGGGCTGCTAACTGCATAAGCCTTGTAGGCTTGTACACTTGAGGACAACAGGTACTGTTTTGCAGAAGTGTATTACAATTCTAGCGGCCCATGCTATTTATGAAAATTGAAAACCTCAATGGAGAATGAAAAAATCACATCCTTGGGCGAAAAGGATAGTTTTGAAATTTGAAGATATATGGATAAATTGGCAAAACGATAGCTGAGCAAACACCTACTTTCAATAAATCCAAAAATCTACCAACTTGAGGATTTACAAGCTCTTTGCATCAGCCTCATTAAACAAATGGCTTGGAATGAGAATTTTTTTTTATAAAAACAATAACCTAGTTTATACAAATTATTGACCTAATATCAGATAAATTTCAGGATTCAAGTTTTGAAAAAATTAAAAGAATCTACCTCTTTGAAAAAGCCAAATAGGTTTTACGAAGAAAAGTTTTCATAAATGATTTTCTTTTGAATTGATGATCATAAGAAAATAATTAGGCAAATATTCAAATAGGAACTCTTTGAAATTAATTTATATCATGAATTTCCAAAATTAAACACATATTTGGAAGCAGAATATTGGGATATTGATGTAGTTGATTGGGGATAGTTTTTGACAAATATTATAGTGAAAGGTATTAGCAATACCCGATTATGATCAAGATCATGCTATCGTATGTCATCCAACCTCGATGATATTCAAGTACTTTCTACATATTTTGGATCCATAGCTCTATTGCGTAGCATGAAAGAAAAAAAATTCTTTCGACCATATCAGATAACCACAGACAATGACTTTACTGATGAGGACAATCTTCAAAATAAAGAATAGCTAGCAAAAGAACTAATCATTCAAATTGATTGGGTGGACAATCTTTTGGAACTAAACAAAATTGCAAAAATTGAAAAAATAAAAAATACTTTAAAAATAACTAATGGAAGACCACCGCGCCCTTGTGAAATTGAAGAAATGAGAAAATATCTTTTTAGTCAAGATCCGTAGAGCCGAGATGATGTAAACACTGCAAGTGAAGATGGTGTCTACTATCATAATTTAAAAAATGTAATATATTGCAAGCCCTGACATTAGATGCAAAATTATTGTGTCAGTGTGTAAGCAGTGATTTCAACACTAACATTATTGCAGAAGTGCAGTGGATCCATTCAGTTTGCAACCAACAAGTTTTACCATTATCACTTTGGAAGAACTAGTTTTTCGAAGTTGGAGTATTCTTATCTTAAAATGACAAGCAAATGTCAAACTATGGTCATTAAGAAAATAACTTTTGACACTTATGTACTAGACAAATATAAGATTGCCATGCAAAATCAAAAAGAAGAAAATTTGGAGATAAGATAGACACATAGTCTTTGTCTTTTTTGCAAGAAGCCTTGCTATGAAGCAAGACTTTCCCTAGGCATGGGGCACAATTTTTTCAAGACTCCAATAATTTTTTACGTATCTACCCACATAACTTTGAATTGCTTGTTTTATTCATATTTATTATTTTAACAGTTCAAATTTAATCCAAATGTGAATGTCTCATATAATTGTTACTATTGAGAGATTTTAGTACATGAGAAAAACTACAGAAAGTTTGTTTCGTTTACAAAAATGGTCTTTTTATTCGTTTGTCTCTCTCATTAAAAAGTTGAAAGTAATGGTTAGGTTTGATCCTCTTTGTTGGTTGAAAGCTAGTTTTTCATTTTTATTTTTTGGATGTTGAACAAGCAAAGTTATTATTCAATAATTTTTCAACTTCGCAATCTTGCCTCTACATATGTCTCTTTCTCAAAATTAAGATCAAAATATTATATTTCTCATATTCCTATTTGTAAAATCCCACAACTGTCCACCTTTTATTTTTGACCCTCTTCAATGTTCAAATTGTAGTTTCTCAAATTTCAATCATATATCTAAGCTTAATGTTTATCATAACATTTCTATTTGCATGTATATAATTCTTGTTTTTGAGAATTCTATATTGTTACATATTTTTTTGTCATATTTTTTCAGTTAATAGAATCTTATGATTTTCAATCCGATCCTACAATCTCGAGTTTTTAGCCACTTTCATTGGTTCAAGATAGAATCTCGATTTTAAAAACCTTGTTTTTCTGGCCTAGATACATTACATTCTTTAGTCTTGAGTTAGGAAGCACATACACTTTATTTTGGTAATGTCGGACACATTTGAGACATGGATACGCTTTGGACACGTGTCAGACACGCTAAAATGAGTATTTGATTTTTATTGTTAATTTTTTTTTCGGAGACGTTTTGGACACACTATTGACTTGGGACTGACATGCTAAGGACATGCGACCGACACGTTTGAGGATGCGTTTTGAGATCTGTTTTCAAATTTTTGAAAATTGGTCAAATAACTTTATAATTAAAGAAATTATTTTTGTAGTTTTAAAGAGGTGAGTTAAATGCATAATGTAAAAAGAATTATAATCACTATATGAAAATTGGACTAGATTATAACATAATTTCGGACACGTTCATGAAATTATATACAAATTATAATCTTTCTATATGAAAGCAATGGGATAAAAAATGGGGTTATAAAATTAGGGCCCTTTGAAATTGATACAAAGTTTGATATTTTTTAAAATAAAAATTCTTGTAGTCATTGATTGTTTCATTATAGATGTTTATGTTGAATATGTATTTATGTGATATTAGATTTTTTATTCGATGATATCATGATGTGAATTGTTAGAATTAAGGAAATAATGAATTGAATGATTATTACCAAAATATATTTATTTTGTCAATGAACATATATATATATATTTATATATATATATACACACACACGCACATATAAACATATAGTATTTAATGTGTCACCCAAAATATCTGTGTTATAGTTTTTTGAAAAATTTCGTGTTAGCATGTTTTTATCGTATTGTATCTGTATCCCGTGTCTGTGTCTGTGTTTGTGTTTGTGTCCATGCTTCTTAGGTCTTTGAGATGCATATGAGAAAGCCATATACACTGGATAAGCAATAAATCTTTTCCTTTTTTCTTTTCTGGGAAGAAGATTGAATATATGATTTGCACTTGTAGCCTGGGAGAGCCCTGTTTCACTTGTTGCTTAAATCTTTTCTTGTTACATGTTTCACTTAACCCTAAGATGCCAAATTTATTAGAGCAAAGTCATAATGACCATAATGACCAAAGATTTCATGATTCCACAAGTTGAGAAAATTACCCACATACTCAACTTAGTTAATTTGCTTTTTTCTCAAGTAGAGTCTGCATTGGTGTTCTAAATTTATTTCACCAATGCAAAGTCTTTGGTCATTATGACTTACCCGGGTTTTTTGTCCCGGGTAAGTAGAGTCTGCATTGGTGTTCTAAATTTCTGCTGTTGATATGTGGTGATGCAACATTGCGGCCATATAGTCAGTTTGTCATTTTCGCTATGCAAATGGGATATTGGGGTCATGATATTTTTCACTTTGTTTTGGAGTTATTATTACTCCAATGAATATTTGCACGATTGGTTGTGGAGTTGTTGAATAATTGGAAATGGGTCCGAGTTAGGAAGCAGCAGAAGCAATAGGAAACTGCCCCTTTTCTCATGCATATGTTTTGGTTTTTGTTGTTCAATCTTCTTTTCTTTTGGCTTGATGAGGTGTTCCTTCAAACTTTTTTTCTTTGTTTTTTGTGTTCATGTTTTTGGGTGCTCCTTTTTCAAACTCCGTGTGTGCATAAGTGATGCCTCCTTTGGTTTCTTTGGATGATATGCTCCACTTATCAATGAAGAAATTTGACATGTTAAACCTGTGATGATGGAATATGTGTGTGTTGTGTCCACATATCTCCATGTGACTTTGGGAGTATCCAAGTGATCAAAATTCAAGTTTAATGGTGACAATTTTCATGCATGAAGTCAACCCAAGTGGAAGCCAGCCTGGTGGAAATTCTGGGTTTAGGTTTCCACACGTCTGCATCCTCTAAGTATGATCTCTTCACAGTGCTACTCAACCTTGCTTAGGTTTGCCCAATTTGGAACTAAATATGTTATTTACTATGAAACATAGATATTTCGTTAAGGTCGACATAATCTTATTAGATACCCATCATACATATCTGATAATTAATACAATATATAGATACTTCGCGAATACTTCTAAACATGGAGAATTTTAATTTATACCATCTCGTTTTGATTTCACATATAATGCAAAATATCAACCAAATTCCATATGATTTTGAAGACACGATTGTTTTTTAAGTATTATATGCCATTACATGTCAAAAAAGTATAAAAAAATGAGTTAGTTGCACAATTATTTTAAAAACAAATACTTGTAAACAAACCAACTAGTTAAGTATGGTTCTGATTCCTTTAATTGGTCACACTCATTTTATGGATACATTATAATAAGATGATATTACATCTTTTTTAAGGTAAAAGTTCCTCATTTTGCTTACTACTGTTAAAGAATTATGAAAAATTATAATTTTTAAGTGGTTAAATAATAGTATAATATAAAATGTGATTTATATATGGACGTATCCTGGTCATACCCATATTCTTTTTTTTAAGTTTTGTCGTATCATACTCGTATTCTGTATCATATCGTACTCGTATTACGTATCCATGCTTCCTAGGTTCTCTATGATTTTAGTAGCAAACTTCGATTTTCTTATGCTAGTGTATATGTTCTTCTTCAAGTTGTTGCTTCAATAGAATGTTGTTTTGCAATTATTGAATTCAACTTTCTCCACACAACGAGTATTATTGTACTTAAGCAGTTTTATTCACTTTGGACAGTTGGTGCTGCCTACAATGTTGGAATTTTCCACTGGCGTCCAACAGAATCTTCAAAAAAATTGGCAAAAGAATGGAAAGATATGCTTCTGGCTGATGATAAGATATGGGATCAGAATGGATTCAATGATCTTGTCCACAGACAGTTGGGACCATCTGTTGATGAGGATAGTGGACTTGTGTATGCATATGATGGAAACCTCAAGCTGGGACTTCTGCCAGCAAGTATTTTTTGTAGTGGCCATACATATTTTGTCCAGGTAGGACCCCTAAGCTTGGGATTATGGCATGGTTTCACTTGGTTATTCCTAGTATAGTATCTTTCTGTGTGCAGAAAGAGCTCCTGGTCTATACTAGTCTGGCTTACTAGTTTTGCCTTTACATTTCAGAATGGAATGCTTCAATCCTGAACACAGCAGGATAAATTGTGTAAAAAGCATTTTGTAAACCATTGTGTCATTTTGGCAGGCCATGTATCAACATCTTAGACTGAAGCCATATGCTGTACATACCACATTCCAATACGCTGGCACTGAAGGAAAACGCCACCGATTACGTGAAGCCATGGTTTTCTATGATCCTCCCGAGTATTACGATTCACCAGGTACTTTTTATATACTTATTAATGTTTGCGTATCTATCTTATCATTTCATTCTTACCAATATTGTTCTGCTATTAGCTTTGACTCTTTTGGAAACATCCTCCAGTTCTCCCATTCAATCTTCTCCTGGGCAAGTTAGGGACTCTGAATTTTGTATTGTTCTTTATCCTACCAAGACATGTACGGAAATTTGTGGAAGGGACTTCAAACCTGTCCACAAGTAAAGAATCATACATGAATTCCTCCGGAATTTAATCTTATCTTTCTCTGGGTTAGAATTTTATGAAATAATTTGTTTGGTGGCCCCTTGTCACTGCCACTCATTGTGTCATTCTACTTAGCTATAACTTTGGGCTGCTGTTGTTTTTATGAATTATAGGATTTCAGGAACGGAATTGAAAGGATGTCATATTAAAGAGAAGAATTTTAGTTACCAACTAACTCATTTGATATTCATTTGACCAAAACATATACTCCTGCAGGGCCACGGCACTCTTTTTTTTTGTGGTGTAATTTTTCCCCCGCGCAGGGGTGGGGGGTTAGGGGATACATCAATGTACATGGATATCAGTCAGTGCATTAATTTGTATTATCTACCTTGGGTCAGCATATGTAAATACAGGTTGTTCATCACGGTATTATGGATATAGGAGCAGTTCAAAATTTTCTGAAATCTCCCTTCCCTCAAAATTTCATTCCTTTTCTGTATTTGTGATTTCTTGTGGCTTACTTTGAATTTTGTTATATTCTTGAATTTTGATTGATAAAAACATATTTGGGCACAATACAAACACACTTAGATAGCAAAAGGTTATTACTCATTTTGGCCCTGATAATTGAGGGTGCCGGGAGGTATGGATGGGATACGGTCCAACCTTTGACATTATTTACACGAAGAGACTACCTCATATTCAACCCAGAAGTTCATGGTTATTAAGTTACTAATCCGCCTCGTTTACCATTGTATCAGGCATTACCCTATCAGTTATGTTTGGAGGTATAAAACAATGTTTGAAGTAGATATGACATAAATAAATTTTGTTCCTTTTCTTTTCTTTCTCTTTTTTTGAACGTGATAAAAACACATCAAATATTTATCACCAAGGAATTGTTTTGTCTATTATTTACAATTTGACTAGGATATTCATGGGAACGTTGAGTTTTGCACTTATATGTGGCAGGTTAACTCCTTTTAAATTGGCCTACTCTTTTATATCGTGTTCCCACTTTATAATAGGAACTGATGGTGCTTAAAGCTTCTCATATTTTCAGTGAAATGTTACATGTCTTGATGAGCTAAGGTTCAAATACAAAACAAACTTGTAAAAGCTGTATGCTTGCCCTTGTTTTGATATTCTATTATCAGTGCAAATTATTTTATTTCATGGCAAGAATTACTATTTTGAATTCTGAAATGATTTTTTCGTTTCAGATTTGTGTTCCAGATTGTAATATATTTCACTCCTTAACAATGTCAGTTTTAATATATTGTATGGATTTTTTCTACTAATATATGAACTTTTTGTCAACAATTCTACTGTCCAAATTTTGACAATGCCTTAATTTCATTTTTTTGCTTTCTATTGAGATGATGTGCTGGATAGTGGAAGTTTGTCTTCCCTGTCTTAACAAGAATAAACTTGGCTATGCAATCAAACTTCCTCATAGATTGTAAAGTTTTAGGCACATCTTCCTGCATCTCTTTCATAAGTATTGTTCAGCAATTTGTGAGGGGGGCTTCATTTTCCCTAGAAAAAAAAGTGAAATGCAAAATTCTTGTGCATCCTCATGACTACAATCCCAAAGAATAGTGCCTTATCTTCCAGCCAATGTTTCCATTTCCTTAACCACCGATGTATGCACCACAATTAAAAGCTATCCCCTTTTTCGGATGCATCTTTTCTTGTGGCATTATCTTTTTGTTGGCTAGTCTATTTGCTAGACTAGTGTTGATATTCCAATTTGGGAATCTTATGCAGGAGGTTTCTTGACATTTAAGCCAGCTATTCCAAAGAGCTTGTTACTAGACGGAGAGCATACTATCGAATCACACTTCTCTCTTGTTAATTACCAAGTACGCATGCATTAACCTAGTCTGTCTTCTTTTACATTTTTTTTTCACAACTATCATGTTGTATATTATTAATTATAATTATGTTATGACTGTCTCTCTTCAGGTAAAACAAATAAGGACTGCCCTTGCTATTGCTTCATTGTTGAATCGTACACTGGTGAGAACCATTTTGACTTTTGAAATCATATGTAGTTGAGTAACCTTTACTTGTCGAGGGACGCAAATGAATAGTGAATACTTTCTCTGGATCATCGACACTGAAATTAGAAAGATGATACTATATTTCCAACCTCTCTATATTCTAAACTGATAGCATTCACTGAAGAACCTCATGATTCATCCCTTGAATATTTTTATCAATTCATCCATAATTAAGACGAAAGAGGCCTTTAACTGGTGTAGTAGTATTAGTGTTGGATGAATAACCATGAGGTTGCGGGTTCGAATCTAAGAATTATCACATTGAGCAAATAATGCCAAAAGTTGAGGCATGTGGTCCAACCCTCCCAGCATCCCCAATAAAGGAAGCATGCTGGGTAATGACCCTTTCTTCCATAATTACTACACAAAGATAAAGGAAATGCTGGTCCTTAATCATACTCCCGAGGGAATGGAGGTTTCAATCCGACGGATCAACCTTAATTGGCAGGGGATCTTTTTTTTTTTTTACCTCTTTGCTAAGATGATTGTTTCTATTTCTGACATTCTGAGGTATATCCAGAGTCCAGATTAATTTGTCCCTGCGTTGTTCCTAAACAACTTCATTCTTATTGCTTCACTATCATCTTTGATAATAAGAATATATATATAAATGAAATTGCACATGGCTTACTTATTAAAAAAAAAGGAACTGCATTAGGTTAAAATTTTCATACCAAACACTTCCCTTGAAATGATTCTCTTTTTGAAGAGACCAGAACAATATGTCCGGCCGAGTCTAGGAAACGATCACAATGTCACTACCCTATGCTGATCTCATCTAACTGGAATGTTGTTGGAAGATGGACCATGTGTATAGATAGCCTTCATTTTTATTCTCATGGCAGGGCCTCTCTTGATGAATCTGCATTTTCGTTTCCTTTTTCACCATCTCTCTGTTAATAATAGGTATTATGATCACGTACAATAATACCTGTGAAATTATATGTTAGTGGTGTTGGATATTAACACTACTCATTTATTTTAATATATAAATGCGAGTATGGCAGCTGCAAACTGGTCACTTATATTCACAAAAATAGTCTTCACAGAATTTCAATGGTTCACTGTGTACTTATGTTACTTGGGTTTATATAACAAGAAATTTGTACGAAATTCTGCAGATTTAGTTGCAAAATGTTATTTGATTGATAAAATTAGCTATTTTATTTGTATATGCAGATTTGAAGCCTGTATCTTGATAGACTTTTGCTCTATATTTGTGAATTTAGGTCATGCCTCCACTCTGGTGCAGGTTGGATAGGTTATGGTTTCCACATCCTGGAGTTCTGCTGGGAACTTTGACTAGACAACCTTTCCTCTGTCCTTTGGATCATGTGTTTGAGGTACTTATTTTTTTTTATAGGACTTGCAAAGTTTCAGATACTAACAACAAACTTAAATAGTAGCTATAATCAGTCATGTAGATGAGGTGTCCCATATGGTAGATACTAAATACCCAAATCCTATGCATGGGACAACAATACTTATATGTCTCTTTGTGAGTTTACTCTGTGGACTCGTACAATCTGTGTTTGAGTTTTTCTATGAATAGGATGACAATAGTGACTTGAACAATGAGGTGACTATTTGACATTACAGTCTTTCACAAAATGGCAGTTGACCTTGATCTTCTAGCATAATTCCTTTAAGAAGTTCAGAAACCCGTGGAATGAGTGGCTTATTACCTGTTTTTCTGTCATAGCTTGAGTTTGTCTATTGAAGTTGAAGGGTTTTCTAAAGCCTATAAATTACAGATCCGAAATTGATGAAACCAAATGTCTCATGCTACATTCTGGTTACTTTTCATAGTGAAGCATGTGCTGCCTGCAGGTGAATGTCATGTTGAAGGAAATGCCAGAGGAGGAATTTGGGCCTGGAATCAGTTTGAGGGAGTATTCTTTCTTGGACAATCCATCACTGCCCAGACAGGTATTTTTTTCACCGTCACACAGAATAAAGATCTATTTTTTTTTTTAGCCTTCACTTAATAGTGAACCTTCTCCCTCTTGATGTTTGTTTCAGGTGAAAAAGTCATGGCTTGACGTACATATCTGTCAAGGAGGGTCTCAAGGTTGTCAAGTATCAAACAGTACAAGTTCGATGGGCGTAATCAAATTTCCTAAGCACAGTAATGAAGAAACGGTAATTTGATTACTTTTCAACATATTACATGTTATCTTGATTGATAAATATCAAATCTGCAGATGCTTGGTCAGCATGTATTCATCTCGCCAATTGGAGAAAGCTAATTTCTGAGTTTTGACTTTTTTTCATGGAACCTACTTTATGGCACTAAAATCTAAACATCTAGTACATTTTATCATCGTCATGCCCTCTTGTCTAGGCCTGTAGCAGTGTATTTTTTTTTCCTTCTTGTAAGGATTGTTTTGATTTCTTTTTAAAATTAAATTTCCTTTCGTATGTTTTTTCTTCCTAATAGTTGGAAGCAAATGTTCTTTCTGTTAAATAGAGTCATTGGATAAAATAGTCTCTATTGAGATTAAAGAGGAGGAACTACTGCAACCTTGCCATCTCCTTTTCCTTCTCTTTCTCTGGTCTTTTTAGTAGGTACTCCAGACAGTATCATTTGATGAGGTCATAGAAGTTGCTTTTGCACTTGGAAAGAACATGGTAAATTTCATGGATAGAGACTGTCAAAACAATTCAGAGTCTTTTATGAAATATTTTCATGACCTATGTGAATACTCTAATGGTTCTTTTTGAATACTACATTGCCGCGTGCCCTTTTTCCCAACCCCCCAAGAGAGGGTGAGAGAGAGCCTCCCCACCCTCACACCGGGGGTGGGTTCCACACCCGTTGAATAGTTTTCATCTTTATAAAACTTCCAATTTTTTTTTGAACTTAATTAATTTATGGTGCTTGATATCTTTAAAAAAAAAATTGATGGGCCTAATGGTTTTTTCTATAGGTTAGATTATACATTATTTTTGCTCAAACTTGTTGGTTACCAAGTTGAGTTTAGGTTTCGGGCTTCATTTATGACAATCATGAGTTTAGGGGATAGTAATAACTGATTCTTCCTATTGCACCAAATTATCCCAGGTCATGGAAATTTTTATTTTTATTACGGAATTAGTAGTGAAGATGTTTCCCAGATGCACTGTATCCTTGTCATATTTTCAGGCTTATATCTTTGTTGAATTAAAGTGTTTATTTTGCTGAACCCAGGTGTCCATACTGATTTTGATTCTTGTTATTAACAGTTCAAAACAGTATTCTCCTCATTTAAGGACATCAAAGTCATACAATTCTCATCAATGCAAGATGCCTTTGTAGGTTTTGCTGATAAGGCAAGTTCTTATATCCGTTATTCATTTAGTTTAATTCTACATGTGAAATAATAAATGTACCATCATTTATAATCTGGAGATATTAACTGCACATAAATTATCAGACGAGGGAGGAACATTTCAGAAACCGGGTGAAGCGTTATTTAGGTATATGGTGTTGCGTTGATAATCACACTCCTGGTCACATATATTATGACATGTATTGGGATGAGAAACCTGATTGGAAACCAATTCCACCCCAAACTCCAGAAGATGATCATCCACCTTTTTGATGACTAATTTCAACCTCACATTTGTCAATACACCAACAGAACATCAAAGTGGCACAGAAGGAACACAATGTCTCAAATTGTTCAAGTATTCAACTCGTGTTTGTTTCATATCAAAAGAGCTGTATCCATGGTTATATACTGTATTTTTATATTTATAAACAGTCATTGACTATCTAATCTTTGAATAGGAAAGGGCTGTTGTGTTTTTTGTATACTGAGTATTGAATTTTTTTCTGACTTGTCAACCTGGTGAAAATACAAATAAAAAAGGGAGCTAATATACTGAGATGAGCGTGGCATCTTTGTTTCTAAGTGAATGCTTTAGAAATTTATGATGTAATTGATCATTTTTCTGGATTTCATTGTTATAGAGATTGAACTGTGTATTCTCCAATACAGAAGAATTGTTCATATCTCAAGGCCAGGGCAGTGCCAAAATAATATACAGAGTTTTTATACATAAAAATAGTCATTTCTGGCATTGAATTTTTCTCAAGATTGGTGGCATATGGTTCCAGTATTTTTCATCATGTTGTACATTGTAACTCCATCAAAACCATAGCTATAACTTGGGGCTCAAGAAGAGTCACAGGTGCTTCATCGGATATGGCCCAATGAGTCTGGGGCACGGCGAGACGAGATGCCTAGGAAATTCATATGCTGATGATGATGGGACTTGGATGCTTGTGAAATTAGTCCTATACTTTTTGCAAGCCTTGGTAAACAGCGTAGGAGAGTCTTGTCCTTGCCCAAAACTGTTGCTACATGGTGAAAATCTTTGATATATCTAGTGAAGGCTAATAATAATGGTCGGGAGCTATTTGTGTCTTATTGTGTTATGTTGGTTTAAGCCAAATAGTATTCATTTACAGTGTTATATTGTCAGCTGTTGTCATTTTGGATTTGTGTCGTATATAAATTTTGCATAATCATGAGGACTCGGGTTCTTGTTGTGCATAGATAAGTTTGTTTCAACCAATCTAGTAAAAGAGTCTGATGGGTCAAATATTGTTATAATTCATTAAATGTAACTTCATATGGAGTTGATGTATCATGTTAATAGTTACCGGCCTTGGTCTATGGTATGTATGATTACATTCCAACTTTAGCAACTAAACGAATCGAACTCAGGTTTACAATCTAAGACAACTGTCTATAAGTTCTGTATGATGATAAAATAATTGGCCAATTACAAAGATTATCAAAAGCCTTGTTAACTTAGTGGTAGTTCATCCACTTGATCAATCTCTCATGAGGATTAGGTCAGGTTTTGAATATTTTACGAACCAAAGTCTTTTGGGACCACTGCCCATAAATTTACCACATTGTGTAGAGAGTGAGTTTTACATAGGGCTGTTAAAATTTGACACGACACGATTAATCGACACGAATTGTCATGAATTAAGTGGGTTTGAGTGAGATTTTAACGGGTTTGGATGATAAATAGATTGACACGCCAAACATGCTTAATAAACGTGTCATATTCGGGTGAAACTTGTTAAATCGTTCATCACACGTTTACTTGTTTAAATAAAATCAATATAATAATAAATTAATAATTATTTAAAAAAATTATCAAAAAAAAAGAGTAAATAAATCAATAAAAAAAAAAAGTAAAGTAGTAGTTCAAAGATATAGGAGAGGAGATGGGGACAAAGACAAACAAATGCCTTTATTTTTGTATCATATTGGAAAATGAGGGTAGATGAAGAGGAATGAGTTGCCTATAAAAGGCAATGGACTCTTGTTTTTTTTTTTTTTTTTATAAACCTTCAAGCCTTATTTTTATAAAATTGGACTAAAAATTTTTCTTTTTTGAAGTAAATGTAATTGACAGTAAAAAAAAATAGAGTATTAAAATTTGTTGATATAATTTTTTTAAAAATTAAATGGGTTAAATGAGTCGTGTCGTTTTATCCGTTTAATAAACGAGATCGTGTTCGTGTTGAGATTTTTTATCCGTTTATTAAACGTGTCATGTATGGATTTATATGTATTTCACCCCGTCACTCGTTTAACCCGACACGATTGACACTCCTAGTTTTACACAAAATTCAACGTTAGTTCGATACATGAATAAAAAATTATTGTAGTGATTTATTGTAACAACTATGATTAAAAAAAATTATCAAAAATAAAACCCACTAAATGTTTGGTAAAAAAGTGAAAATATTACAATATCAATATTTATATCATTTTACTTTTTATTCTAACTTTTCTAATCTATCTAACATTATCTTTATAGATTATTTATAATGCAAGTATAACTACAACATTTTGTCCTGCGCTTTACAAAATGGAGAAAGTAGTCTATGTCTATCCTTTCACCTTAAAAGACCATTTGAAGCAATCAAGAGAAATGTTTTTTGTCAAGAATAATGGAGCATGGGCAGTTGGGCAATAAAGGCCAAAATAACAGAATCTATTACAGAGACATGTGCAACTAACTTGCTAACAAGAGCATCATCGCCGTACCAGGCCTTCCCACACAGAACATTGCAGCGTCTCCTACCATCTCAGTTCCCTTTACACAATGCTCATCGCAAACACTTATTATGTCCCTTCTTGCCGATCAAACCCTTCCCTTTTATGGGAAGAACTTGTTCCCAGTTGTTGCACGGCTCTGCTTATCTTTGTACTGCCTTCCACTCATTCGATGAAATGCCACACACAACACAAAGTTTTGAAAATGCCCACTTTTACCATGTTCTTGAACTCATCCAATTTTGTACCATGAAACCCAATTCTTTAAATGTGATTATGGTTCATTGCCTGGCCCTCAAGGTTGGTGCTCTTGCTCATTTGCCCATATCGACCTCTCTCCTTATTGTATACTCTAGAGCCGGAGATTTTGGCTCTGCAGTAACTATGTCTGATGATATTCGTTACAAGGACGTGGTTGTTTGGAATGCGATGATGACTGCATGCATCAAAAATAGGCATTTTGGAGCTGCTTTGGATTTTTTCATGGAAATGATGGAAGAAGGAAGAGGGTTTGATACTGGAACTCTTGTAATTGTGGTTTCAGCTTTATCCAATATGCACAAGTTGATGCAAGGCCGGGTTGTTCATGGTTTAAGCTTGAAGGCAGGAATGCTGCCAGATTCTTTCTTATGTAATGCTCTTATTAACATGTATGCAAAATGCGGTGACCTAAGCTCTTCAGAGTGTATGTTTGTAGGAACTGAGTGGAAAGACCTTGTTTCTTGGAACTCAATGGTAAGTAGTTGTCTTTATAACAATTATCCTGAGAAGTCTCTATGGTACTTCAGGGAAATGGTTTCTTGTGGAGAACAAGCTGATCATGTGAGTCTTTCATGTGCTATTGCTGCATCTTCTTGTCTAGCAGAGTTGGGTATTGGTCAGGTCATTCATGGATTCGTTGTTAAATTGGCTTACCAGGAGAGTTCTCACAATTCAGTTGCTAACTCCCTCATTTCATTTTATTCTGAGTGTGGGGACATTGATGTTGCAGAGATTGTGTTTAGAGAAATGGTTCTTAAGGATATGATTTCATGGAATGCAATGATTGATGGGTTTGCTTCAAACAAAAAAAATTTTGAAGCATTTGATCTTTTGCGTGAAATGCAGTTAGCAGGATCAGTCCAACCAGATAAAGTCACTGTAGTTACCACCATTTCAATTTGTGCAGAACTAATGTTACTAAGAGAAGGAAAAACTCTTCATGGATTCACAACTCGGAGGGAGATGGGTTCGAACTTGTCAGTGACAAACAGTCTCATGGATATGTACTCAAAATGCAATAGTGTTGAAGCGGCTGAGCATTTGTTCCAGAACATGCCAGAGAGAGACCTGGTTTCATGGAATACTATGATTTCTGGCTATTCCCATAATGGATGTGCTAGAGAAGCTCAAAGTTTATTTAAGAAACTGCTCCACTGGTGCTCAGAGTACAGCTTGTCAACGCTTTTGGCAATCCTTCCTTCTTGTGATTCCCCTGAACATCTCTGCTTGGGGAAATTGATCCACTGTTGGCAGTTAAAATTGGAATTTTCGAACAATATTCTTGCGGTTAATTCCATCATGTTCATGTATATAAATTGTGGGGACATGGTAGCTTCTTTCTCATTGTTGTGGAGAATGTCTGCTATTGCGGATACTGCTTGTTGGAACACTGTAATTGTAGGCTGCACACAGAGTGGCCATTTCTTAGAAGCTTTGGGTACTTTTAACTTAATGAAATGGGAACCCCATGTTACACATGATTCGATTACCCTTGTAAATGTCATATTAGCTTGTGGCAATCTTGAGTTAGTGTTGGACGGAAAATTAGTTCACGGGCTTGCTCTTAAAAGCTCCGCAGGTAAAGATACCCGTGTGCAGAATGCATTAATTACAATGTATGGCAGATTTGGGGATATGGAGAGTGCAAGATTAGTATTTAACTTTAATAATCGGAATTTATGTTCGTGGAACTGTATGATGTCTGCTTTTTCTCAGAATAAGGATGCTAAAAAAGTGCTGGAATTATTTAATGCCCTCGATTTTGAACCTGACGAGATCACAACTGTTACCATTCTCTCAGCTTGTACACAGCTTGGAGTTCTATGTTATGGGTTGCAGATCCATGGACATGTGTTCAGGGTTGGATTCCAGAGAAATCCGTTTATATCTGCTGCTCTTGTGGATATGTACAGCAATTGTGGAAGGCTAGACATCTCTCTCAATATATTTCAAAGTTTGAAAGAGAAGTCCGTTGCAGCTTGTTCTATGATATCTGCGCATGGCTTCCACAGCAATGGTCGAAAAGCAACTGAAGTATTTCATGAGATGATTGAATCTGGAACTAGTCCAACCAAAAGCACTTTTATAAACCTTTTATCGGCTTGCAGCCACTCGGGGCTTGTCAATGAAGGTATCTGCTATTATAATCATATGTTTGATAAATTTGGAGTGGAACCTGTCACTGAGCATCATTTATGCATTGTTGATATGCTTGGTCGATCTGGAAGGCTCCATGAGGCGTATGACTTTGTCAGGCAAATGCCAACACCACCTGAACCAGGAGTCTGGGGTGCCTTACTAAGTGCTTGCAACTATTATGGAGATCTGGAGCTCGGGAGGGAAGTGGCGAATATTCTCTTTGGCTTGGAACCTGAGAATGTGGGATATTATATTTCATTGTCAAATATGTACGTTGCTGCTGGAAGGTGGAGTGAAGCTGTGAAGCTGAGAACCACAATTCAGGACAACCGATTGAAGAAGCCAGCAGGTTACAGTCTTATTGATGTTGGTCAGCAGTAAGCATGATTGCCGCAATACAAATGGGTGTGGCAGACTAAGGAGCTGTTTTCGACAAATCAATGCTTGGGTGCCCAGCTAATGAAATAAATTCGCAAAATGTCCTTCGTGCCTAAAAGGTTTGTTCAAGGGCTAGTAACCTTCACATCCCACTACTCCTGTAGGTCTGGGGAGCATTAATAGGATCTCAAGACGTCGTTGATGGAAATTAGCATGATACAGCAATTGGCTTCTTGTTTCTAAGATTTGTCGTTCATGGTCTGTGACAATATCTTCGTACATTGGAAAATTGGCGTTGTATTGTCTTAATCAAATTTGATTCTTATTTTTTTGAAATTGGCTAACCTTACACATTGTCCAAGTAATTGATTCATTGAGAAAATTTGAGAGATTATGACTTAGCTTAAAAGTTGCATCGTTTATTTTTCTGTCCGGACTCCGGCGTAGTCCACTCCGGACAGACTGTGTTTCCGAGCACACAAGGTACCAAATGCAATAGAAGGGGAGTATGTATTGCAAAGCAGAAATTTAGCTACTGTTTCTCTGCAGGATGAGTTTGTTAAGTCGCTCAAGTGAAAAACAGACAATCTCATGTAATAAAGTAGTAGTAAATACAGAGATTTCTGGGGTGGGTGGATCACTTCACATTTGGCATAAATACACAGACACTGCCTTGTAGTTCAAAAAATAACATCAAGACCCCTTGACATTTTGAAACTTGTAACGGTAGACGTTTGGCCAATGTTAAAAGTGACAGTAAACAAAAATAACCCCTATATTAGCTTATCACATTAAAAAGTGACCAGTCAAATGGCACGCTCGACTCGCGTGCGAGCCGATTAGGGGTCAGATTTTAGCCGATTGGGGCTCGCTCTCCTACCCAAACCCAACCCAGCCAAAACCCGTTCGCAGAGGCGAGTGAAGTGCAGTGGGGCAGGTTGCAGATACCGACGGCAAGAGTTGCAGACAACGACGACAAGGGTTCCGACGGTCCGAATCAAGCTTTGATCAGGTATGTGAATCAGTCTTCTCTTTGTTTTGAGTGTTTTCACCGATTGATTTGGTACATTTTTTATGCTTTCGCTCTCCATTTTCATCTAATCACTGGCTTATCTCATATTTGGCCCTGTGCGTTGAATCAATGCTATAGGTGGTTCTATGTCTGTGGGCACATTTGTTTACTATCTTCTTGTGCCGGTTGCAAGAAATCTGTGACGCATATTGAAATTTTAAAATATTTTGCTTGGATTTAGCTGTTGGTACTCAAGATCTGTTCCTTGGCTTTGTTGTTTCTTAAATTCATGGCCTATGTACCAACAGGGGCGGAACATGATGAACCACTCAATCGTGCACATAATTTTTCAATCGTCTTCTAGCGGATTGACTTGTATGATGAACCTCATAATATTGTGTATGAAGTGAGGGAGTGGTTCAAGGGCTCACATCCGCCCACAGTTGGTTGCGGATTCTAACCGTCCTGTCCAAAAAAAAAAAAAGAAATTAAAAAAATACTGTCATGTATTCCAAAAGTCTCTTTTTTGGCTTTGTTTTCATGGTGTTACTATTACTAGGTTGAAATTGTTCTGTTCCGAAAGTAAAATAGGATACCCAACTAGGAACATAGCTCCTGATCCATGTGTGCAATTAATATCCGATATGTTTGTTTTAGGACCACTATTGTCTTTTATTCAATTGAGTCCCTAAAAACTCTGAATCATACGACAGCAGTTACCATTTTGTGAAAAGAACGATTGTGCCAGATTTCCACTGATAAGCTATTTGACTATATTCTATGCAATCAAATGCCAGATGTGTTCCTGCTTTTGTGGTTGCTCCTGTTCAAGTGTTTGTCTACTGCACCTTTGAATTGAACCTTTTTTGGTGTTGGCTGTTACTTTATTATTGTATTAGTGCTGGATTTTTGCCAAGGTGCAAGTGATTGAGCTAGTTTTTTTTATTCTTTTTTGTCTTTTTCTTGTGTGTTGTTGGGGTTTGGGGGAGCGGGTAGGGGTTCCCTTATCGTGTGATTGAGCTAGTATTAATGCCTGTAAAAGTGGGTATAATTATGAAATTCACTATACCAAAGATCAATATATCATGAATTGATTTGAAATAATAACTTCTATTGTGGTTTTGCAAAGTTTTTCTTAACTGTATGCACTTATGTTGACATGGTTACCTGTACTCGGACTCGCAAGTGGAAGTGTATGCTGGTGGTATTTCATTCAATCTAAATTCATCAGATCATCTGAGAAAAATTAAGCATGAAATCATAAGCACTTGAAACCCTATACATTGTCAATGACAATGCTTTAGTCCAAACCTAAAGCCTTTAAACGGAATGCATTTTATGATCTGCAGCAAGGTCATCTTATACTGAATTCCAGACTGCAAATGCTCTAACTTGGAAACATGAATGCTGAAGAGGGTAAAGGATTGTCACAAATAAATCCATCTGTAACTTTGACTGGAACAGCCAAAGAAGGTGCAATTGGACCACCTGTTGGTATGGTTGATATTGGCATAAGTAAGTATGCCTACCTTTTTCGGGTTGCCTTGCCTGGTGCAAGGAGCAAACAACGTAAGTCTCCTATCCTTATTTTCTTCATTTATCGCCATTCGCCAATGTATACCTTAATCATGTTAGTGAACACATACAAATTTGACCATCTTCTAGCACATAGTGATGGACTTGTGAATCTGGTTGTAAGAGAGTAGAAGTAGTGGACGTACTTGATACTTCTAGTACCACCGTCACCTTCACCATCACCATCACCATCAACTTGAATGAAGGATATAATTTTTGTAAGCACAACACTTGTGAGGCTCTTGTCAGGCTAATGGTATATAAGATTTATGTGAAAATAAGTGAATTAGTAAGAATGATTTTAAACCTCGGGCAAGTAATAAAATGTTAGTGAAATTACTGATACCTGAGGAAATCCATCTTGTGCATGGAACCAAGTACTCTCATGGAATATAAACAAAAGACTCTGACCGAGGCATAGATGAGTGAAGAGAACTTGTTTACCATAACAGGTAATATAAAGTGTGATATCCATCTGGACGGAACAGTCAGCATAGAAGGAGAGATAAGTGGCAGTGAAGTGTTGAAGAATTCATCAACTGTGTACAAAATGAAGGTGCAGCAGTTGTGTCCGGATGGACCTTTCACTGTTTCCTTCAACTTGCCTGGAGCTGTTGACCCCAGGTTAGCATCTCCTTATTTTAGATCGGATGGTATTCTGGAAGTTGTCGTGATGAAAAATAGGATACCCGGTTTTTAGGTTGATGGGTTGATAACTGGCTGGTTCGATGGCTGCTTCCCCCCTTTAAGTAATCTTCATAGCAGAGCTGGTCTTATTTGATATTTGTTCCATCCTCTATTGTGAACAATTCATGAATTTAAAACAAGCGATGTACTCGAACTGTGCATTTCGATTAAGACGCAGTTCATTTTTTGACCAAATCAAATTTTGATTAAGGTTCATGTAACACATTATTTTGTTGATTTCTGTCAGATTTTCCAACAAAGATGCTCAGAGCAAAGAGCTACATATCGACCAACAATATAATTGCTTGTTTAGTTCATTAAGTTAAATATAATTCCTAGAATGATATAGGTTGCTTATACTAAAATTTTAAGATTAGTGATCACAGCAAGTCATGAAATGCCCGTGGTCGTAGATAGTCCTTAATCTTTTGGATTGATTTACAACAACGAGTTTGAGATTTGAATCCTTTAAGTATTCGTTTTCTCAATTTTCTTTAGATCATCTAGATTAGTGAAAAGATCTACTAGTTTATATTTGGTCTCAATTGAGTTTAAGATAGGTCATAACCCATAAAAGAAAATTGATAGAGTAAACTGGGGTGAGCCAAATATGGAATTTTGGATAGCTCATAACTTGATTAGAGAACGAAAGGCTGCAAATTTAGGTTTGAGCCGGGTTTTTTTTATTCAATGGTTAGGAATATCTGGATTAATCTATGTGCATCTCAATTAATTCTCTCTTTGGTTCGATCAAAAGTAAGTCATTCACGATAAGGTTAGAGTGTTCGTAAGGGATAAATTTTTTATGACTTAATGTCAAAAAGTTGTCAAAATTTGAACTTAATACGTTTGAATTTGTAACTCGTTTTTATTATCATTTAAATCACCTTTTAGATTTGGCTTGATCTACTTGGATTGAAGCTTCCTTTTCAAGAGAGGAATAATTGCTCCAACTAACAAATCATATGGTCTTTATGGCTGTCCAGGGGCTCTAGTGACCATGAAATTGCCAAAGCCCTTGGATGCAATTTAGGGGGTAATGAATGGAGGAAAACATAAAGAATGCTAATGCCCACTTCCGCCATGCATAAACTGAACCAATAATTAAAATAAGTATGAAAATTAAAGCTTGTATAAATATAGATACACCCAAAAAATCGAAATTCGTTGTTAAGGTACAAATAGTAATGTAAGGAGGTTTGATTCATGTGCTTGGACTCCGAGACCTAAACTTGATCATCACAAGTCACTTAAAACAGCTTATATACCAAAATGAATCTAACAAAACACAATTCACAATTATAAATGAGTTAGACATGAGTAACACATTGTGACACGTGAACGTACCCAGTCCGTTGCCAGTCATAAAACTACTGGGGAGAAGGAAAAAAGCTTAAAATACATGTACAATAAAGTTTGTTGGACATACCCTTCTTTCTCACTCTTTGGCTTTTAAATGTAAGTCGAATTACAACGATTGGTGAGCAAAAAAACCAACAAAAACAGTTAGAAAACTTGAAAATCCACTCCACCGGCTGAAAACCAGCGAACAAAAGCATACTAGATGTTAAAATACACTCAAGCAGCAGACTCGTAAAGGCATTCTATTCACGGTACGAGGTTAAACATGATCTCTTCGAAAAGCAACGGACCTCCTGAGGTTGATCAACATATCAAACCACATGGGTAAGGTTAACCCTCTAAGGTTGATCAACATATCGAGACACTTGGGCAACAACCCGAGAGTAGCGGAATATGCTTTTTATCTCTGCATAACCCAACCCTGTAGATAGAGATGTGAACCGTTAATATCGAGAATAGGAAGTAAATTCGTAAGTGGGTGAACATGGGCATAACCTCTCAATAATCACCTTAGTCATCAAGGTAATAATAGGAACCAGCGGTTTTTTGCTCCCTGTCCTTGGTCGAGTCCAGTTTGTTGATTCTTGGACGATAATTAGTTGGGTCTCGCCTAAACGTGATGTCAAGATGCTGCATAAAATTTAGCAAACATGCATTCATAAGCCATCGTGTTAAGAAGGGAAATTTTCTTCCACTGAAGGTGGAAATGTCCAAATAAGGATAGCATGTTTTATATCCAATTGATCAGTGTTCCTCCAGTGTTCTCTTCATTGATTCTTCCTTTCTCAGTTATGATGATGATGATGATGATGATGATGATCAGATGTCAAACAAAGAATAACAAGAAAAAAATTAGCAAGGCTTACAGATAAGAATAGATTCATTCCAGTCAACAATGACTGAGGCACATTTGCTGTACAATCCACTGACGGTTTCCCCTCATACACAATAACTCTATCGGCCAGGTAAGTTGCCATTATGAAGTCATGCTCAACCACAAATGCAGTCTTCTTTGCATGAAGTATAAATCTCTTTATGACTTTTGAAGCAACAATACGCTGCTCTGAATCAAGATATGCACTTGGTTCATCTATCAGATATATATCTGCAGGCTGCATGTAATCCAGTAAACCAATAGTCAGATCATTAAAAAAAAATACATCCCGAAACAAGGAACAAAAACTAATTAATAATAATTTTCTAGGAGGCTTTCTGAAGGGGACTCTCCTTGCATTCTAATTGTCCAATTTTCTCATTGTTCGCTTTAAAAATAGATCACAAAAAAAAAAAAAAAAATCCAGAGGACACCAAACTAGGCGTCCCAAACAAATGTCAGCCCAAAAGAGTCACACACAAGCAGGAGGAGGAAAAAATAAATGAGACAACGAAAGAGAGGGAGAGGGAAGGAGTGGAGCAGAGAATCTAACACATTTTCTCTCCATGCAAACCCCAGCACAGAAAACACGTACACATCATATTTTATAAATAACCAATTATGCCAATCAAAACAGAACAAACAATGTGCTACAAGAAGTAAAACAAAACAAGAAAAGAAGTCAGAACCGTTGGAAGGGGGATGTAGGTCAAATCCTAGAGACTGAACGACAAGTCCATTAGTTGATTAAAAAAGGAAAAAAAAAACCTACAATAATTATATTTGTATACCAGAAAAAAATTTATGGATAACAACTACACCAACATCATCCGGTTTGGCCTGAACTCACTCAATAATGTCCGAGGGAGACCAAATAATGAAAGAAATGACAAATAGAACACATGACTCAGAAAAGGAAAAAGGAGGAGGGGGAGGGGGAGGGGTTAAGACCTAGAAAAAGATACTAACTCAAAACACTATTCTCTTTTAAAATTTGCACATCCAAAAAGAAGCGGGGCCAACCTTAGGATGCTCCCTCTTTTAAGCACCGATTCCCTTAAGAGTTCTAGCTGTTATAGATAGAGGAAATAGACAACACCAGGCAGCTCTATATTTAGCACTATTGAATATAAGAGACCAAAATTCACTGCAGCACTCAATAAGAACAAAATAAATACTTTCTTCAATTGGGGGAGAATAGTTAGCAAATAAGTTTATCGAAAAAGCAATCAATAAATATAATGGACATCTCTGCTGTATCTAGTTTGGCTCCTTTTCATGCGCACGTGATCGTTAAAAGCCAGTCTCTTTGGCCAAACACTAGGGTGATATAGGGATTGGTCATACTCATACCAATCCTTTAAGCCATTTAGATTCTTCTAAATAAGATAAATTCCTTAACAGTCATCTCTTACCGATGCACCAGCAAATGTGGGAGAAAACACACTAGAAAGAACATAATTTATGAGGGTCTAAGATAAGGAATTGTTGTGAAATCCATTGCTATTTTTGTCAAACACTTTAGTATCCCACACCATCACTTCTCTAAACATCATCTCATCCATTATCAAATACAAAGTAGGCAACTTATGGACATACAACTCACCAAAAATATTAGGGACTAAAAAATCCCTTCACTAAAAAAACAAATTCATTTTCAATTTAGTAATCCAACTATAGTCACCACAAAATCAGAAGCATGAAACTAAACATGAGTTAATGCAGCATAAGCTGATTAAGCTACAGGAGAACAAAACCACTAGCAGAACATGCAAGGAATAGACAATGAACACAGAAACAGTATCTCCTTCCCCCTTAGAAGCATGCACAAAGTGTGGGACATTACCAGTCAAACAAATTCAAAATGAAATGTCCAATTTATAGATGACATATCAAACACTCATGAGTCAAGAGTAGGGAAAACTATGACTGAATAAATCATACGAGCAATAGCGTCAACCAAGTAACTCCTATTAGCTAGTTCCTGAGATGGGGGAATTAGCTGCTAACTGGAACAACTCCTCCAATGAATCAAAGAATCATACCACGAATAAAGGTTTACCTTTCCCAGGCAAAGAGTTAAGGCAACTCTTTGCAACTCCCCACCAGAAAGTGTCACAACTTCTTGATCCATCAATTGGTCAATTAAGAGGGGCTTCATCACGTCCGATACAAACTGAGGATGCAGATATGAATCACGTATTCTTTGATGTAGCAAATCCCTAACTTTAGCTTGAAATTTTGGACTTATCTTCTGTGGCTTGTAAGAGACATTAAACTCTGGTATCTCTACATCAGATCCTTCTATTGTATCAGGCTTCAACAAACCAGCCTGCAGATTTGCCAATACCACTTAGGCCTTCACAATATATAATAACTACATAGCTTTGGTTTGAAAGAAAACAGAAATAACGTAAAGAAAGAGTACCAGCATGCGAATGAACGTTGTCTTCCCAGTCCCATTCTCGCCCAGCATGACGATAATCTGAGAATCAGTGAATTCACCCTTAATCACCTTAAGCTTGAACCACCCTGAGTTTTAGTCATGGTTGGGTATTTGTATCGTGCATATGTTTCAATTTCCTCAGCACTTGCCAGTGGAGTCTCAGCAACCTGGCAGAGCAACAAAAATAAATTACTTAACACGCTGCTAAGCTAGGGGCATCACACCTACAAAAACCTGATGTCTACCGTAAAAGTAAGAGATTCATCCAGAAAACGTAGATTTTCTGTGGGGACAAATCCAGCCAAGAATATATTAATTCCTTCTCTGACAGAGAAGGGAAGGGTTACAACTCCATACGCACCAGGCTTCCCATATAAACAGCAAATGAAGTCTGATAAATAATCCAAAACACTGAGATCGTGCTCCACAACAATCACATAGCTGGAATTAAAATTTTCAACAATGTGAACATTTACATTTTAAGTCACAACATCAGTAAGCAGAAAATTTGAAACCTCAAAATATCCACCTATTAGGTCTGAGCAAAGATCGGATAACTTGGGCAGCTTTAAGCCTCTGTTTCACATCAAGATAACTTGAGGGCTCATCAAACATATATATCTCCGCATTCTGTATCGCGACAATGGCAATAGCAAACCTCTGAAGCTCTCCACCAGATAAATCCCCTACATTACGGTCTATAACCTGATTCAGCTCAAGATCAGCACAAAGTTCTGCTTTCATATCTCTCTCATTTTTCTGGTCGAGCACTTGCCCAACTTTGCCTTGCACTGCTGTTGGAATGTGGTCGACATACTATGGCTTGATGATAGCCTGTTTGAAAATAAAATAATCGTAAAAAGAAAGGGCAAAAAGCAATTGGAAAAAGCAGCAATTAGTCCTAAAACACTTAATATAATGATAGTGCAATAAAGCAAGATGACTACGAGCCGGAGCCGTCAGGAGGAAAAAAAGGCTAAAACTTAGCATCAAGTTTCATTGTGCGTCACCTTTCATGGTGCACATATTTTTGTTGGCTCTGCTCCAATAAAATTCTAATATCCATGTCTAGAAATATTAACGTTTTCATCAAGAGGGGTAATATACATTTCCACAAATCATATTAATGAAACGCTAATGACATGTTAAATACAGCAATATTGCCATGGATGAGATTAGGCATGAAAAATAAATATCCAAAACCTTTCTTATAAAGTTTAACAATGCAGCACTTTCCGTTCGCTCATCTCCAACAGAATTTATTTAAAACTATACACGATGAAGAAGGCAATTAGGGGTTTCCTTGTGACTTGGATTAGATGTAATTCATGTTATTTTTTGTGACAATTAACACATTTTTGAACTAGTTTTCCATGAATGAAAATCATATCAGATCTAATATCTAATACTACTAATTCGGAATTCTTGTGTCTCCCAATATTACTAGTTATTAGAGTGCCTGTAGGTAGGTCCTACTATCGAGCACTTTTTAAAATTAGTACCCCAAAAAAAGTCCAAACCTTATGACAACTAATTTAGTAAACAGATTTATTATGTAACGAGAAAAAGCACGAACCCTGTGAGGACATGAGTGATACCAGAATCAATGAGTACCTTAAAACATACCCAAATATTGCCTGTAGAAGTTGTAGGATAATGAAATAAAATTACCACTCAGGCAATATACTGAATACCAAATCAAACAAGGCAATATAATTTATGTAGTCCATAAAACTGTAAAATATAGTACACTTAGAAGGCACCTTCAAATCATCTTCCAAAATACGAGTAAAATAATTTTGCAGCTCAGACACTTGAAAGTATGTCAAGATCTCTTGCCAATCTGGAGGGTTCTGCAAAAGAATCATCTAAGATGGTAAACAACATGTATGCCTCATAACGTAATTAGTAAGAAGGCAATCCATAAAATCACATTGAAACGGCCCAAATTAGGTTTCAATTTCCCGGCCAAAACTTTAAGAGCAGTCGACTTCCCGATGTCATTTGTTCCAACCAAACCAAGAACTTGCCCAGGTCTCGGGACTGGTAACCTGTGAAAAAAAAAAAAAAATTCCATTGCCTTAAACTTAAAAAACCACAAGTCCATCACTCTATAGGAACTGCAATCGTAAACTAACCTGTGCAATTTGAAAGTGTTAGGGCCATAACGATGGGTTGTATCTTTATCCAAATCTTTGGGTAGATTGATGATCTGAATTGCTTCAAATGGGCATTTCTGCATTAACCGAGAAAATAACAATCATCAAGGCACGTCCAGTAAATTTACTCATAAGCCACAGAATATGCACGAGTGAACAAAAAATGTTTCAATACCTTGACACAAATACCACATCCAATGCATAGCTCCTCTGAGATAAAAGCAATCTTAGATACAGATGTGACCTCGATACAAAGTTTACCTGCAAATATCCAGTGACACTGGGTATGAGAAGAATACATCTTGGTTCATAAAAAAGCTGTTAACCATTGACAAAAAATTCACAGCCCCAGTACTCACACCACATTGCATAAAATCTGTAACATTGATGTACCTCCGAATCTTATTCATCAATTTATTTTGATTCTGTCAGAATTCTTATAAACTGCATTTATTTATCACATCAAGTAGTCTATTCCGTCCTAAGGTGGCTTGAGTTAGAGATCACCAGCTTGATTTCTCTGACCAATTGCACATTTTCTGTGCACAAAAGGGTTGGATATCAGCTTGCACCTCTACTTCTTGGTAAGTTCTTCCTCTTCCACCCATGTCCGCCCCCCTCTCCTCAGGGGCGGATCTACCTCATAGCTTGAGGGGACAGTTGCCCCCACTCACCTTTCAGCAACCCGCATGTATATTGTGTGAAAGGTCATGACTTTTTTTAAATTAGTGTATTGCCCCCCTTGATTTTTCATATGTTGATCCATATATTTTGATTTTCAGTAAGTTAGTAGTTCATCACAATACATTTCTTTTGTTTAATATTCAATTTTTCAAAATAACCATATAGTTGCCCTTGCCTCATTTTTTTTTTCTTTTTGTGCTGTAGGTTAATGGCTTGTAAGTAAGTAAAACATGAAGAAATGCAAATTATACAATTTTCTAACCCAATTTGAAGGAGTGTTTTCTAATTTTTCAAAGAATAAATTTCTCAACAAGATATAAGATGACTTCAATTAGGTTTTATAAGAAAATTAGTGATAACTTTGTGACGAACTCTTTTACGAAATTACCGAGAAACTTAGCATAGAATCAACTATAGACTATTATTGAGATTTGAATAAGCTTTATGTTTTCTTTTGATATATTGTTGATATAGATAATCACCCCATTTGTTGTAGGATCAGTACAACAATACAGCTCAATACTTCCTCCTTTCTTATTGAAGATATGCCCGCCTTTTAGGGGTCATTGCCTAGGCAAGCTATAAACTGTTCAGTCAAGCAACCGCAAGGATGTGAATTCTACTCTAAGGGCAACACCTTGGCACAAGTAATGCAAAAGTTTGTGTGTACCCAATCCGCAAAAAAGGGTAACAACCTTTAAAACCTTTTATTTGCCCTAATTTTCTTCCCCCCAAAATCTGATATCATTGGAAGAGCAAAATCTGATATTTATGCATGATCAGTTGGCCTAGAACTAGAATAGAGTTGTCTTTGGTTTTTGCCCAGTTTTTTTCCATTGTCCATTTGCTAAACTTATGGTTTAGTTGGTTTCTTGATGGTTTTTTGCTGTTTTCCCTCTTTGTAATAGAGCTTCATGCTTATCCAATAAAATTCATTTATTTACCAAAAAAAAAAAAGATCTTCCCTCTAAAACGAGTTGTTCAAAAGGAATAGACCCTAACCCAGCCAAAAACCACACCACCCAAAACTACCATAGCCCTCAACTCTCACTCCCCACTAAATTTTAGGCATGGACTGTCTAAGGAAACCCACAAAACTACTGGATCAATCAGAGTAAATAGCAAATTACACAACTTCACAATGACTATCAAACTTTACGACAAATTACCGGTCTTGACAACAGGACAACTCTTTTTGCATTGCTGCCGGCACTTCTTCGGCTTGCAACGATCAGAGCTCACGATAGCGATACGCGTCAATCGATCTGCCATCTCTCCTTAATGATACAAACTGTGTAAATACATATATATATATATATATATATATTTATATATCGTATCAGACTATCAGAGACTATCTAATCCTAAGCCCCTGAAACGATCAATTAGTAATAGAGAGAGAGAGAGAGAGAGAGAGAGAGAGAGGGGAGCGCGCTGGGAAGGGGGCGACTGGAAATTGCTTGAAGAGCTTAGTGACTTGGTCACCACGGCAAGGAACTGGTATGACGTCAATGCTATACACTGGCGGCAATACAATTTTACACGAAGATGTAATTGTAAGGGGTTGGTTTGATTAGAAGGAAAATTTGATGGAAAGTAAAAGAAATAGAAAATGATGTAAAGAAAATTATAAAAATAAAAATAAAATTTTCATATTTATTTATTTAATTAGACTGAAATTTGTGTAAGAAAGTTGTACAACAAGTCCACTTGATCATTTGGAAATTATAAGTTACCTAAAAAATACTTTTATTTATATAAATCATTCTTACAAAGCCTTTTGAATATTTTTAAGGAAAAAAAAAAGATAAAAAATTGTTAAACCCGAACATGCACTGCATGATATTTTATCTATTTTAGAGGTCTAAAGTGTAATTTTAACAATAATGGTCAAACATTGAACTCATGTTCGTGTGTTAGAATGTTTTAAAGAAAAGAAAAGAAAAGCATAAACTAAATATCAATTAATATAAGAAAAAAAAAATATGGACACATGTCAAATGGTGACGTTTGCCATGTGAATAGGAAATTCTAGTCTTTAGATTGAGAATTTATTTTGGAGAGAGAAGAAGTATTTTTGGGGTGTTTTAATTGATCAAGTATAAGCTAAGACTAGGTTTTAAGGTGTTAAACGCCGTGATTGCACGCAGCTAATGAGGAATAATTGTGTTGGTTATAACCAACTTCAGCTTGTTATGCTTACTCCATGGGGAATGCTTACAATTGTTTTTTGGCTGCAGAAGTTAAGGACTGCTGGAATTAAGTCCTTCAACTTGACTAAAACCTAGGTTAAACTCGTGTTTCTGTTGAAGTTACTGATTTTACTATTAATATTGATTGCACGTTAGTTGCAAAACAGAAGTTCTAAATTTCAGTCAGTCAAACATAGTCCAGCTTTTATTCCTACAGGAAAACGACCACTTCCCTTTAGGAAACTCCGATTGACGTACCTCTGGTTGCAATCATAGATCTTTCTAACCAAGTATAGTGCATCACCTTACTCTAGTTGAATGAAAATTGGAATCAGTTTAAGGCGATTGAAATTTTTGACTGATAAATTACCGACTTATTTGATACTCTTTAAAAAAATGAGTATAACACTTTACATGTGCCTCTCATTTTCACTGATGACGTACGATTTTCAAGCTTGATAAGTTTTGTTTGGCACAAAAATAGCTTCATTTAAAAATTCTAATTGGAGGGAGAGAGAGAGAGAGAGAGAGAGGGGTCAGCCAAGCTGGTCATTATTTTTAGATTTGGATCGGTATAGCTTTGATACTTAGATCTCAAATATAACCTATAATGGTAATGATTTTTTATATTACACCCTCAACTAATACTATTGTCTCACATTATCCCAATCGCAAACGTCTGTTATTTTTTTGGATGAAAATTGCTGACGTGACGGGATAAAGTGAAAAAAATTACATAGTTTAGGAGAAAAAATGAAACAACTTTTCATTAAATATATAACAAAAGTTAATAAGTGGGGCAATGTGAAACTAATGATATAATTGAGGGTGAAATGTGAGAAATCTAGTTGATGGGACAAAGTGAAGAAGAGTGATAGTTTAGGGGAAATAAGTGTAATTTACCCACAATTTTATGTCAAAGATGCAAATCAACCTCTTCAATAAGCCCAAAAAGTAGGGCATGTAAAAGATGCCATAAAAAGAAATACATTCTATCGAACATTCTCCTACATATTCAGCCAACAATGTCAGGATTGAACAGCCTGCAGTCAGTCCTACAGACCATTACAATTATGCATGCAAGTGACTAATTCTAAAAACCAAGGATAAGCAAAAGTCTCAGAACCACTGTATAGTTTCAGTTGAGGATCATAAAATCACTTCCACTTCTTGAACTTCCCTCCAAACATCCCATGCTTCTTATGCTTCCCAAATTTCCCGTGCTTGACCTTGCCGTGCTTGAACTTTCCATGACCATGTCCATGTCCGTAGTGACCTCCATGTCCACCGTGAGTCATGTGGGCACCGTAAGCCGCTGCCGCAGCTGCAGCGCCCCCAGCAATCATGCCTCCTATGCCCGATCCATGCCCTGAGAATAGAATGACCAAAGACTCGAGATACAATGACACATATGAATATACAATCGGAATTTTGCTCTCCTCACATACACAGAAGCCCTGAAATACATAACAATTGTGTCCCCATGATATGTCCAAGTCCCCAATGACAATTATCAGGAATTCGCTAACGCAGAGCTGCATACTGAAAAAGAAAGATTTCTCCGCATTTTTAGGAGCAGAGCAAGTCTTCAATTGTACTAAAAAATTACATAGCCATTTATGCCTAGTCATAGAGGGATTCATTTCTTTTAATCCTCTTTTAAGCTACTTATGATGCTCCACCAATGCTTAAGTACAGTTGTAAGACAAGAAAATATTCATGTTTAAAACAGGAATATCACCATGCCCCTTAAACAATTGTCTACATGCCAAGTTTATAACAATGAACCAAGGCAATTTCCCAAAAAATAAGTCCATTTAGCGCTGGCTTACGGGAATACGAAGGAAAAGCAAGATGAATCGAACGTCCCAGCATTAATAAGCAGGATTAGTGAGCAGCAACCAAGCCAACTATAAATTGCAAGGTGAGGACATTTCTAACAACTCAAACATGTCAAAAGGATACATTATCATTCTCACTAAGAAAAATTGTACATTAGACAAAATTTCTCATCATTAGGCCAACTTTTCAAGAACTGGCGCATGACATATATGATGTAACTGAAACTCGGAAAATTTTGAATTCTCCATTTTCTTAACTTAGTTCTAGCGAAAAAACCCTCAGATGAAATATATTTTGAAGCAAGAAACCATAACTAATCATGGAGCATTTACTTCCAGGTTAGCAACCATACCTGAGTGGTGTGGAGCAGAGGGACCAGGATAACCAGCAGGAGGGTATCCAGCAGGAGGGTATCCCTGTGGAGGATATCCAGCTGGTGGGTAGCCTTGGGGAGGGTATGCTCCAGGTGGTGGAGGGTACTGTCCAGGAGGGTGATGACCATGATGTGAAAACAGCCCTTTGTCAGTAGAGTCATCATGCTTGTCCTTCCCACCTCCCATGTTTCTTCACAACAAAATTAACCGATCCTACCTATGCAACAAATAAATGACATCAAATTGAAGATTGGGCCTCCCAATAGATCATGTCATGTCGAGTTTGTGTTGTGTTTAGGTCGCATCGTGTCAAAATGTACTCAATCCGACCTAGTAATTTTCGTGTATGGCTGCGTTTATGTCATGGATTGTGCATATAAACTGTGTATAGGCCATGTTTACTAAATTCGTGTTGTGTTTTTGCTGACTCATTTATTTAACATGTCTAACTGGTCCATCGTTTACCATCTAAACCTGCTAAAGATTCAACCCAAATTCACCAATTCCATATGAATTTCAAGTTGGGTTCGCGGGTTTTGTCCAACATTGACAACGCTTATGCAAGATAAATAAACCATTCTTGTTTCTTTAAAACTATAAAACCAAGAAAACAAAACATTATAGCCACCTTCTCCGTCATATGCAAAACAATGAAAAACTTGGAGGCACAAGATTTTTATACATCATCTAAATTTTCTTCCATCAAATAGGAGGGTTGATTGGTTTAAAATCCAAAAAGGATCTGATTAGTGCATATAGGTGGATATTTCTCATACCAAAAATAAAAATGAAGGAAGAGTTTAGTTAGAGAACGCAAACCAAGTTGTAAGCCACAAACAACTGCAATTTCTATTGAAAGTTTGATCCATTGTTTTGAAAATCAAGTTCTGTATTTTGTACTGCCCAACAACAAAAACGAAGCAATTCCAAGTGTTCAACCGGGAAACAATGGCGGCAAACTAATTCCAAATACCAAATTACATGAAAATCTCTTGAAATAAATGGAAAAAATTATAACGATCTCTAATATAAATTTACTAGCCTGACAGTTTGTAACACAAAAAATAATTTTAATTACACAATATTTAATAGAAATATTTTTTCTTTTTTCTTTAATTGCACAATTTGAAATCGATTTGAGCCAACTATTTTTATAAAAAAAATTGACGAACATTTTCTCTGAAAATAGGATTCCGAAAGCAAAAGTTAGTGATTGGTAGATGCATGTTTAGAGAAAGCATGCTCAAACTAATTCCAGAGACCAAGTGGCATGAAAATGTCTTGAAAACAGAATGACAAAATTATAACCATCTCTAGTATACATTACTGTTGTATTCATATACAATTACAAGCCACAACCGATCGGTCCAATTAACAAACTTGCATATTAAGTAATCCATGTTCCCAATTCTCGGAAAACTGAATCAAAACACATGGCACACAATCAAAATAATCATTTTTGCCCACATTATTGTTACCAAGAACAATCAATCAAAAATTCTATTCAAAGAGAAACAATCAGATCAAACAAATTCTTAGTTTTGAATGCGTTATCATACTCAAAAACTTTCCCAGATCCCAAATAACGCAGCAAGCAGATAACACAGAAAGATAAAAAAAAAACTTTGATCTATATGGTTCCATGGATCATTATACGAAGTAAATGCATTAAAACGTAATCAACAAAGAGAGAGAGAGAGAGAGAGAGAGAGAGGTGACCTTAGGAAGTTCCAAGTAGTTAGTCCGGAAATTTTGTAATAGAGAATGAAATGAGGAATGGATGAGAGAATATATAGGAGGTTGTTTTGGATAGACGATCCCATGCGTTGCGGCAAACACGTATATGACGCGTTGAAGCATGCGTTAACACGTGTACTTTCGCTTTGCAACGTCTGAATTTGTTTTTTTTTGGGTAAGTGCAACTTCGAAACTTGATCCCCAAGGTACTGTATATATGTATCCAAATGAACTTAAATTTCTTGTATAAGTTAGGGGAAAGGATCGCGGTTGGTATTGTATTAAAAATTATAATTTTTTAAAAATAAATTATAATTTTTTAAGATATAAATTATAACTTATAAAAGATATGATCAATCTAAAAATATTAAAATTAATTATGGAACTTTCAATGCAATATCAAAATTTCAAAGATTAAATTATAATTTTTAAATGTCAAATTATAATTTCTTCTTTTAAACATATAATTGTATTATTAAAAATAATAACTTTTGATAAGAATACTATAAAAGAACCGACTCAACATCTACAAGAAAGCTTTGTTTGGTAGGCGAATGCCTTGCCTACTCACACAACTATGCTCTGAACACGAAAATATTCACAAATATTATTAATATGTTTTGCACACCCATCCTATGAAATGGTGTATCTTCTTTTTACTTATAGAAAAAAAAAATTATTTTTAATTTTTTTCCTTTTGAGGTGAAAATAGACTATTAAAGAGCAAGTGCTGAGATTCACAAGTTACAGCCACGCAAGTATGCAACTAAAAGCTTTTCTCCAAGAGTATCACGAGTAAATATTGAATGTAGCAGTTATATCACGTCAATTTATATAATAAATTATAATATAATTTAAATTTTAAAATATAAATAAAATAATTTTTGTTATTCGCAGTTGAGATTTCTCTAAATTTTACTTTACCGACAGCTAATATTAACATTTCAAATTTAATAGGAAAAATAAGTTTTTAAGAAGGTGTTTGAAGTAACTTTTTAAAAGTATTTTTCTTCTCATAATCACTTAAAAAAAATAGTATTTGAAACCATCCTATCAACACTTCTACCACCACCACCCCACCGCCGCCGTCGCCACCACTGTGACCACCCTACCACACACATTAGCCCACCACTAACGTCTCCACGAGCATCATGAGTAAATATTTAATGTAGCAGTTATATCACGTCAATTTATATAATAACTTATAATATAATTTAAATTTCACAAGATAAATAAAATAATTTTTGTTATTCGTGGTTGAAATTTCTCTAAACTTTACTTTATCGACAACTAATACTAATATTTCAAATTTAATAGGAAAAATAGGTCTCTAGGAATGTGTTTGAGGTAACTTTTTAAAAGTGTTTTTCTTCTCATAACTACTTAAAAAAAATAGTATTTGAAACCATCCTATCAATACTTCTACCACCACCACTACCCCACTACCGCCGCCACCACCCCCACTGTCACCACCCTATCACACACATTGTCCCACCACTACCATCACCCCCACCGCCCCACCATCACCACCACCACTGTTATTGCCACCCTACCATCACCTCCACTATCCCACCTTACCATCACCTCCACTATCCCACCTCCACCCCCAATATTACCACTATCACCACCGTTGTTGTCACCCCACCACCATCACTATTGTCATACTTTACCTACCATCATTGCCCACGACCATCACCATTACAACCACTGTCGTCACCCCTATCACTACCACAACCGTCGTCATTCCTACCACCACCACCACCATCACCAGTGCCCCACCTTCACCCTAACCACTGCTACTGTCTTACCACCATCACCATTACCCACAACCGTCACTCCACCACCACCACTATCATCATCGTCGCCACCACCACCACCACCACCATTACCCCCACCGCCCCACCATCACCACTATAACTATTATCTCCATCGTACCACCACCCCTACTATCCCACCACCAACCCCACAACCATTACCATTACCACCATCATTGTCACCATTCCACCACCACCACCATTACTACCATACCCTACTACCACTGTCTATGACCATCACCATTACCACCACTGTCATCCCCCTCACCACCACCGCCATTATTCCACCTCCACCTTAACCATCACTATTACCCCACCACCACCAATTGTTATCACTGTCGTCCACCGTCATCACTCACTACCATCGTCATTTCATTCTTATATTTATTACCATTAACACTATAATCTCATTACCACCATCGCCCACTATTAGCACCCACCACCATCATTGTTGTCCACCGCCACCTATATCACAACCCATCACCCGTCGTCGCCCACCATCTCCACCAACTACTGTCACATCCCCATCACACCAACCACCACCACCACCTGTTATCACCCACTACTATCGCCGCCTAACCATCCCCACCACACCTACCACCATCACTACCACCACCACCGTCATTCGCTACTACCCATCATATTCATATTGTCTCCTATAAAAACTGTCATTACCCATCATCACCATTGTCATTACACACCATCACAACCCACCACCACCACTACCACCATCATCACCTGACCACCACTACCAACCACCATCATCGTCGCCCACCACCACCCACCCACCACTACCACCACTGTCACTCACAGCTGCCACTACCACAATCGTCACCTAAAATAATTATATTATTTATTATATTATAATAAATTATAATATAATTTAAATTTTAATAGATAAATAAAATAATTTTTGTTATTCGCAGTTGAAATTTCTCTAAACTTTACTTTATCGACAGTTAATATTAATATTCCAAATTTAATAGAAAAAATAAGTCTCTAAGAATGTATTTGAGGTAATTTTTTAAAAATGTTTTTCTTCTCATAACTACTTAAAAAAAAATAGTATTTGAAACTATCCTATCAACACTTCTACCATCACCATCACCATCACCCCACCGTCGCCGCCACCACCACTGTCACCAACCTATCACACACATTGCCCCACCACTAACGTCACCACTACCATCACCCCCACCGCCCCACCATCCCCACCACCACTGTTATTGCCACCCTACCATCACATCCAGTATCCCACCCCCACCCCCACCCCCAATATTACCACTATCATCACCCCACTACCATTACTATTGTCGTACCTAACCTACCATCATTGCCCACGACCATCACCATCGTCACCCCCCATCACTACCACCACCATCGCCACTCCCACCACCAGTGCCCCACCTCCACCCTAACCCACTGCTATTGCCTTACCACCATCACCATTACCACAACTGTTACTCCACCACCACAACTATCCCCACCACCACCACTATTACCCCCACCACCCCACCATCATCACTATCATTGTTATCGCCATCGTACCACCACCCCCATTATCCCACCACCAACCCCAAAACCATTACCATTACCACCACCGCTGCCACCACCCCACCATTACTACCATACCCTACTGCCACTGTCTACGACCATCACCATTACCAC